TATATATATATATGAGAACAATGAATCGCACATGCAGTCTGGATGCATACTTCCGTGCAGCTGGGCAGGAAGAGCTAAGTGCAGATGTTCCTTTTCACATCTACTACTGATGCACTATTAATTAGGGAAAACTGTTTGTTTACATAACTCGCGGTCGTTATGATGCATCGCAAAGCAAATAAGCACGTATCAGTGCCGGTATAGACCCCTTTAGTTGTTCTGTTTTGCAACCGAATTATAGAAATCCCCATCGATTTCTACCATTTTGACCACTCCGATTTTAATACCAGTATCGGTCGCTAGCAGTCTGATAGGGCACCTGAATCAACAAAGGAATGTGCGCTATGGTACAGGGCGTTCACGAGCTTCAGGTCAAAGGCTTTAACCCCGTTGAGTCGTTATTGTGAAATCTTCCCATATGAAGTTTAGCCCCTATCTTGCTTAGGTAATCCTTTAGATACGGTGAGATTACGAGCAAGAAAGCTGAACCTGTTCTTTTGTACTAAATTTTGTTGCAACGCCATTTTTTCATCAATAGTTATCCTCGTTTCCGATCATAGCTAAAAGGTTGAATATATTTCTAGGAACATTCGTTCGGGCCAGGGTATGCAGCATCCAATACCTGAGAGCCAAGTCCAATGCTCTTTTACTAAAAAAAAATAGCAAAGGCGACTAATACAAAAATAATTATAGTTATCTACTCTGCAAAGTTACTACTGAACCTTATTAGACAGCATACTTAAATTCGAGTAACAACAAGAACGAACCGTATTTACGTTTGCCATACATACAAATTGTATTTTTAGTTCTCCCTGCCTTCTTATCGTTTGATTTGCCAGAAACTCACCAATAGTTTTAATTGCGACAATGACACATTGTACGACGTGTTTGAGTCCTTTAGCGCGATTGATGGCACGCAACGGCCGAAGGACGCGACAAACTCGAAGAATTTTGACGACCGAAATTTTAGCGCCGTCACCAAAGCCGAAGGAGACGAGCGAGACGCACACGACTAGCACGTCCAAGATATTGAAGTAAGAACGACAGAAGGAACCCTTGTGCAATATCACACCGTACGTAATCACCTGAAAAAGCAAATGGCATTAGCAGCTACAATGGACAGCGAAAGTGAGGGGGTGGTTAGAGATGGGCTGAGATGCATGGCTTGAGAACATATATAATTAGCAATTAAGCATTTCGCTTATATATGCGTCAACGAGCCTAGTATGGGCTCACAAATTAGACAGCATCGATTTGTGTGTGTAAGCCCCTGTACGACCTTTCTTGAGGACGGCGGAAATGGCCGTACAGTATTAACTGCCCTGTCTTGCAGCTTCCGAACTCAGGTCAAGTTCGCTGCCAATCGATTCAATGGGTCCTTAAGAAGCCAACGAACTACAGGAGGGGTAATACATAAGAGTCATTTCCGATAGTAAGAAGAGCATTTTCTTTATTGCTCTTCTCCCGCCCGCCTATTCCTTCCTGTTTTCCATGTTGCTCGACCACCCTTATACTACTTCCAGTATGCCAGGCTTAATCAATTATCGGGTCGACGCATGGAGGCAGCTGTGGCTCCCTTAATTTCCAGCCTCCTTTTTTCAGGTTGGTTAGCCATGGCCGCATGGTTGATCGAGCAAAAATTTCTAGAAATACTCGAAAAATTGTGCCAACGAGAGTGCATATATCATATGTGTGTGAACGAACTATAGGGCACTGCGGTTAGCGGACGTGCTTCATAATGGCTGGCCGCTGCCACCAGAGACCCACTGACTTGTAGCCAACCAACGGCAGAATCTTTTGCTTACTAAATGAGCGTCATTGCAATTAAGGCAGGAGTCGGAACCCGGGCGGGCACGGAGAACAACGCCAAGTGTCCTAGCGGTTACGAAATTATTCGGCTACGAAAGGGTAACAATATTCCTACCACCTGTTATTACTAACACGGGTGTAGGACGTAGTCTTGGTGTGCCTTTCAATAAAACCTTGTTAGCTTAACCGCCACCGTTATTACTCTATTTAGAGAATCGTTCAGAGAAGAATAAGATTTGACAAAAGGAGGAGGGGAAAGATGATTGATATGCAGACCTTGCCCGAAACTCTCAGTTATTGATTTAGCATTAATGGAAAAGCCTATAGCCCCTGCCAGGCCGAACACTGCTGACGTATACGAAGCCCTCTTGTCGACTAAATAGTTTATTTATCTGTCTGCACCCTGCAAATACTTCAAGCTGACTTCTGCTAGGTAATTCACATACAACTCAGAAAAAGGCTAAACCTCTTACGGCTTATTTTTAGACAAAATGAGCGATAGGATGTATTATCACTGGATACAGCTCGAGATTCAATTGGTATCGCTTAGGCATGGCGTGCATGTACGCTGGAGCACTATGTTACAAAATCAGAGCTTTATTGAAACAATTCAAAATATTTTACGAATCACATGATTAGTTGACAATTAACAAATAAAAGAAAAAAAACATTCCTTAGCTAACAACGCTCGGTGTTGCAAAAATATTGTGACCGTTTATTATATTTTTTCCGTATTTCAGCTCTGGCTTACTTTGAGCGTGATCTCTATGGTGAAGACGCTGGTGAAGAAGTAATCGAAGTAGTTGAGCACCTGGTTTCTAAATGAGTTAGAGCGCAGTGGGTCCTCGGCTGCCAGCATTGCGCTCGAGACGAGAATGCAGACCAGAATGAAGTTGGAGAAGTACGAGTGGTTGATGACGGTGTGGCAGAACACCCGGAACGGGTTCGTGTGCGAAAAGATAAAAAATGACGACGCTTTCGGAATGGGTATCACCTAAAAATTTCAAGCGAATGAAACAAACGATAGAAATTCACATGCCTTTGCATTTTTACATGATTATTTCCGTTAAATTGGGTCTGTTAGAAAGGTGGTAGCAAATAATTGCTTGATAATCATTTTTTTTATACTCCGAACAACACTAGATTGTACAGTTGTATAGTAAAGGAAAAATAATGATATTACTGTCATTTTTATATGCATACCCGACACACTGTGAATAGTGCCCTGATGAACCTATCGATACACGGCATAAAGGCATACATCTGGCTCCAATGAACAATATAAACAACAAAATGTTGGTCACTCAATAAAATGATAGACCATTTCTCGTTTTGTCCTCCGCATTTCCTTTTTTCTTTTTCTTGTTCTTTGTTACATATCATTACCTTTTGCCGTCTGTCCAGCTACTACAAGGATGGTGCAGCGTCCTGACCGGGTGGTTTTACCTTATCGGCCAGTTCTAACACCTTTCGTTCATCGTGTCATTCGTATTTACCTTGCTAGGTGGTTGTAGTTCGGACATTCGACGCGGTCTTGCGCCTGTCGTCGGTTCCTGTTCTTCGTCACCAATTTCCTCTTCGTCCATCTCACCGGCGTCTTCATCCCCTTCTTCGCCGTCCAAACCCACTTCGTCGTCTTCGCCTTCGCCTTCCTCAATTTCTTCTTCGGGGTCCGAACATTCGCCGTCTCCTGAAACAGCAACCCGAATGCAAAATGATCGAAAGTGACTAATGTAGCAGACGACAGAGATAAACAGCATTGTGGCCGGACAAACTTCAGTGGCAGAAGGCAGCAACGGCAATAAACAATGAGTGATCCATTAGACCTTCGTTGTTTAAGCACCGGTAGTACACTAGACGTTGCTATGATAGTATCTTCACTTCGTTCATCACGCGAACATTTGGTAGCGCATTTTGAGGCACACAACAAATGATTCATTCTGTATTCGTAGAAATTAAGCACGCCCTGACTCGTCAGTATTAATCTAGCTATGTACATGAATTGTGATCTCTTTTTTAATCGGTTAATGATGCTGTAGGAATTCTCTGCATTTTTTCTGTTACTACTACGCTTATTGTTATTGTGAAACCTATGCCATGTGCTGCCCAAGGGAATCTCGAGAATGGCAACCATCTTGAGGAGGCGTAACAGGGTCGTGAAAATTAGCATACTAATTGGAGTTCGGTCTAACCCCTAGTTTCAACGCTCCTCCTGTAAATCGGATATCTTCCATTTCCCATCTATTGTTTAGTGATACGCTTAGAAATAAAAGGCCATATTCGATCGGCTTGTCCTGCCAGCCTACGCCTATTCCCAAGCAGGATAATCGTACCTGACCGATTGCTACTGTTTTCAAAAGTCACGATGATCTAATCAGGCAGCATTAGTTACTACAGTCACCGCGAACAGTAAAACACGGATAGTGGCTCGATTCCGAAATGGACTGGCCTCGAGGAACAGCGGCTCTTCCTGCTGAGGAACATGCTGTATACAGATAAAACGAACAGGATGCCATTGAGCCAGAAATGCTAAATAAATACGGAACATTGTGCCCTTCATATGAAGACGGTCACCGTTAACAGCGTTGAGACAACCAAGGAACTGTGCGTCTCGACAACGTTTCTGTGCGCAAAGTGTGTAATATGTACTTGTCCTAGGTGATTTGTTATTGGGTTTGAGATCCCGTTATCGCTTATAATTTCAGCTTTGTAAAGCATTGCGTCGTGGAAGGAATAACCAAAAGGCGACCCAGGTATTAAAGACACTAGTTGAGTCCGATATAACGAACCTTCCTGGCATTGCTGTCAACTTTTAATAGGCCTGAATGCCATTTGAAGAACTAGACCACTGGAAAAATTGACAAAAAAGAAAAAGCAAAAGTAACGGTAAAGTAGAACGGATGGCCGTAATCCAAAACTATGAGCCAAATACAAACAGGGCAAGCGAGTTCGGTTAAATTGTACGATTTTCCTCATGTGTCAAGCGTCCCAAACTCTGCGTATTTGTGGATCGTTGTGACTGAATTCAGACACGAAATTAGCAATAGCATCGCTGAGAATATATATGTATGGCCCAATACAGCGATCTACCGTACGGTATACGTCGATATCTGTGTCTACAATTGCTCTAATGATAAACGATTTTCAGTCTACAATACATATCCTTGTTTTGTTTTGTTGGACTAATGTTAGACTTTACTGTTACGGTATCTGTCTGATTCTCAAGGTTAGACCTTGTTTCCTTAGGCTATGTTTCAGAGCTGATTTTTGTGATATTACTACAGATGTTCAAGATCAAGGTCACACAGTCATCACCGTGTTACTCGTCCCTGTTTCTCGTTAGACTCGCTGGAATATTAATAATTATATAATTGATATACGTATATCAAAAGAATACATGGTAATTACGCTCACCCGGCTGGGTCTTGTTACTGAGATACCTCCGACGGACTTTTATTGGTTCAGTTACATAATATCCTGATCGTATTTATATGGAATTAGCATTTTAGTAATAGCATGGCGAGAAGCTCCGCAAAAAACCTAAATTGCCCCTTTGTCGGTATAGTCGACCCCGAGGAGCATCGCTTCATCTTGCTTCGGACTGTCGCGCATACGACGCAAAAACGCTAGCGGTTTCCACTCAACGTATTCTATTATTATCGACTAGCCGATGTTGAACAGCCTGATCTGAATCGCATCATTGGCAGAGAGAGGCTCCCTACTCAACGTGTACGCGCTGGTGAGGACCCGTGATGGCTCCTAATTACTGTATGCAATAATGTATGCATGGGTAAGGCGCCAGAAGGCGAGAACCGCTGGAAAGACAGTGACAAAGCACAAGTGCGTAAAAATCAATAAAAAAAAAAAACACTGACAAATCAACAATGTATACAAAGGGAAATCTATCATATATAATGTAGAAAAAGTTCACCTGTGGAAAGCGGTTATTCCGAGAAAGGCCAGCTACAAGTTGCCGGTCGTAATTAAGACTAACGAATTAAGTACGCGGCGACGTTCCATATAGCGCAACCAATAGGCCACGCAGGGTTTCTTTCGAACGCACAGTACAGTAAAGGGCTTTCATGTATAAATTATATCACGTGAGCTTTCTTCTATCGCCATTAGCTACAGGTGAAGATGTCCTATAGAACGTTTATCTTGAGTGCACTGATTTAAGTCCAAATAAAACGTGGTAGGAATTGTTCGAGTTTGGAAGCGTACGCTACTCAACCGCATATTAATTTACAGTTCATATCGATTTAACGGAATGACAAGGGGATGATGAATTGATTGTTTTTTATTAACTAATTAATCATTTTTCAAATGTTTGATTCGTCATTCAAAAAAAAGAGCAATATGTCCTTAGTATCCTTTCTTGCAAAGCGCGAATGCCGTGTAGGCCACACAAGCGGTGAGCCCTTTGCCTATATTAATTTTCAATTTGGCAACACCAAAGCCTCAGCCTTTTTTCAGATGCATCTCGCAGAAATAACGCAGTTTGTTATTGGTACCGAGCACGTTTCCGTAGCTTTTTTCAACTCACCGTGATCCATGTTGGATTTGTCATCTTCGAGAGCATCCGCACCGACGTCTTCTTGAATTCGAACTTTTTTGCCGGATCCTTCGCCCGACGCTGACCCTCTGACGGTTATAAAAAGCAGAAAGAAAAATACAAACGTTGGTATACGTAAAGCTTTCGTACGCGCCGTTTTTGATTCCTTTGACTTTTCATGTCCAACTGCTAATGTACGTAACGAAGATATGGCGAACCTCTACAAGCTCATGTTGAGCATCATCTTCATTCTTTTGTCATGTTTTATCTAATATTTGGGTTACTATAGTCTAAATTTCTGTATTTGGAAATTCCTATATTCGTCGCATTCCGCAACTATATACGCCAATGAGTCTCGGTTTGTCGCGAAAGGTAACCGGTGGATTTGTGCGCAGCTAGTAAACAGTCGTTTCTAGTCGAGCCCTTGTGTTTATGGCATACTTGCTGGAGAGCACGCAGTTAAGCTGTATCATTGCTTTATTGATAATACACCCTTCCAGTGGTATAGAAAGTTGTACGCCCTTTGATCGCGTCTAACAAAAGGCACTTAATAAGTTTAAGTGCAATGTAAAAATTATTTTAACTATGTAATAGTACTTTTTTTTACTTGGCAGCTGACTAAGTACGATAAAAAAATTTCCAGCTACTGATTACGAGTATAGCATTAGTATGTGCGTGACCTGGGTTCCGAAAATGCGGTACGTGGAAATGAACTGAAATGCTTAGTGCAGTTGTTATCCAGCGGATTCAGTAAATACCCTAACTAAAAATATTTGTTAAGTGTCTTATTCGTATATATCTTCATATTCATATATATTAAAATATATATCTATAGCTGTTCCAATATTATTGCAAGAGTTGGAGGAAAAGGCTTCTTTTTAATTCCAATTTTCCACCCCGGTCTTAGGCAACTACATTTTACCACGGCTGCATATTACGATTTCGAATTGCTCATCTTCAACAGTTTGATTAATCTCGAGATGAACAAGATAAAAGTTATCAAAGGGTCTTTTGCTTACAGAGGGCAATCCTTCCGTATAATGAGTGGATAAAAAATGTGTTGCCGTGAAAAAGTCCAAACGCTTGCCTGCAGGGCGAGGAAGTATTGTCGTTCGGTGGATTTAGGGGATTGCCGTCCTGAGCTCCGTCTTCTTCTTCGTCTTCTTCTTTTTCGATGGTCGTAAGTGACTCTGCGTCTGCCAAGTTGTCCACAGCAATGGCCAAGAAGACGTTGAGAAGAATATAATTACCTGAATGGTGGAGTACAGCAAAAGCGGGTATCGTGAACAATTGCAAGCCTAACGTGAATTCGTGACTAGGAGCTAATGTAAATTTATTTAGCAATAATAAAACGGCACTTGTGGCATCTAGGGATGCAGCCGGGATCCTAAGTGCTCTTCCAACGTATCACCTAGCATAACGTAAGGGCGTTATTTCTAGAGAACCTCCTGTTTCTTTATCTACGATGTTGCAGTTGCTTTTTTATCAGCGTTGTAATTATTATGGGCTGTCACCACAAATATGAACAATTGTCAATACAATAGTCATATGTGCACATATCGACCTGCCATACTGATGCTATTGTGGCTTAAGCAGCTGAACTTCTGAATCGTCAAAGAGCTTACTGGGGTCGGTCCCTGCTATTGAAATACACTATAAGACAGGCGGATAAAAAGGATCCCGCGACAATATATATATATAAAGGATGTATTGCACATTCTCTGACTGATGTACTCTTTCCGATCTTGCACACGGTACAACTTGACAATTAAACAAGCTGTCTCGACTTAATCAATGATTATGAACCTACATAATTTTAGATAATAACAACTAGGTGGGCAGTACAGGCCTGGCGTCACACAACTTTAACGCGATAGATTTACTCGTCTTTCCATCAGGCAAAAAAACTACGATCTAGAGCACTATGTTGGGTCTGCTGAACATGTTCCCAGGCGTGACATATAAACTGGTGAAGTTTCTATCAAGAGTACACTGTGAACTGGGAGTTCTATCGGTCGCCATCGATCTGAGCTTGAACAGAATGGCCGATGCTGCTCAGAGTTACTGAACCAACTGCTTACCAACGGTTGAGAGTTGATACCAAAAAGTAAGGCAACGTTTCCGCCAAGAAAGTTACTATACGTACAGCCCTGTGAACAACTTTGTCAATACTGGGCGTCGTGTGTCGACAATGATATTTGTTCAACTAACAGGGCGGGAAAGAGAGTAATTATATACTGATTAAAAAAAAAGGCTGGGCTTACAGTGAGGACAGGGAGGAAAGCAGCAGTTTATATTTGAATTTGAGCTGCTTCAATGGCCTAAATATTACTGCTTCTAAGCTACGAAAAGCACTCACTTGTGATGTTTTAGCAGGTGAGAAAAAACCATAACCACATTGGATTGAATTTATAGGTCGTTAATAATTCCGTCATAATTCCTAGGTAACGGCCAGAAGACGAGTAACTAATGGAAGTGTGTCGCCAATGCAAGAATACGTTTACCTGTACATACGCAGCGTTTGCTCGGCCACGTGCATCTAGGGTGATCCTGAATAATGTACGACCCTTACGCCAACGTAAGGGTCCTATCTGCATATGTATCTTTGACTTCTCTCGGACGCATAGAGTAACTTATTTTTTTTTAATTGTGTGTATTTGTTTATTTATCATATATCTTCAGACTGAGTTATAAAGTTCCCAACAGACCTCTTGATTGTGACAGACCGGTCAACCATCTCAACAGTCCCATACTGTAACTTATGCCTGCAAATAAATCCATCTAACACCTGTCTTGATCTTATCTAACTTCAATTTGTGGTGCAACTATTTACGTAATTTAAGAAAAACAGCCAATATTGAGTCATCTTAATTCATTTTCGAAGTCAAGGCTTTGTAGCATTGTTTTAGATAGTCTAACTGATGACTATTCTTGTTGTTACGAAAAGTGCTTTTACAACATCTGTTACACTTACAGCAAAATCATTACCACTATATAGACAGACTTCTTGACTGTAATCGACAATAGGCGATCCAATTAACAGAAACAAAAGGACTGACTACTGCCTTATATCTGAGTTTTGTCGCCTTCACGTTGAAGCCGTCGAATATTATGGTTATGTCAATAAAGCCAAATGTATGGGGTAATATCGGGTGCCTCCGCTCGTTTCATCTTTTACCGAATATTACGGTCTTGTAGGAGAACATCAACTCAAATTGCGACGACAGAGGGTAATAGGCTGCCTCTATGGTTTAATACAGAAATCGTCGTCAAATCAGGTATGAAAGTAACCTATTGAAGTTCGTTTAGTAGATGAGTCGCTAGTTAAGAGCTTACATGTTCATGGCTCACATTAATAGCAAGACGATAGACTAGTTGGGAACGCTGGATAGCTCCAGGGCACAACAGCGATGTGCATCAGTTTATTTGAAGTTTTTCGGTTGAAAATCCTCTAAAAAAAACGAGGTGTAGCAAAAAGTGTGCATGTATATCAGAAAATATGTATATTGGGACAGCAATTTAAAGTTATTAGTAGATACGAAGTCTGCGCAGGAGCTTCAACTAACAAGTTCACCGAGATCTGCGAGTCTGATAGGAGGCGAACTTTGCCTCTGGGACTTTGGTTGAGACTTGTATCTCGACAGGCCTATTCGATAGACAATCCTAATTCTATATAGGTACATTTAGCGACACTTCGTGATGAACGAAGCTCTCATTTGGAACTGGTATACCATACAATAACAACTAAATATAATAGTACTACTAAGAAATTAATTAAATTGTATCGGTTCAGGGAAATTGTACAAGTATTGTAAAAAAAAAGGTGATGTTTTTCCCAGCCACCTGTAACTATACTCGACCGGTTGCTTGCAATGGCATACCTGCTCATATCGCAGTCACTTGTTTTTCGTCAGTCCTATGTTGTACGCTGCGATCCGTTCAGCTGTTAGTAGACCGTTGCATCCCTTAGATATTTTACAGAGAAACTCTTTCAATTGGCTATTATAGCTCGAGGCTGAAAGTCGATCGTTCCGTTTTGAACACATGCCCTCGCTTCCCTTTGCTCCCGCAAACGGGGAATACGCGGTATATAATTATCATCACTGTTATAACACTGCATTTGGCCAAGGTTCTTATTGATTAGCCAGTTGGACAAGCTAATGCGCCCAGCTCTTACGAACTAGATCTCTTCACTCTTTATATTCTCGATCTGCGGTCTTCCTCGATAATATAATAGGACGGACAGATAGATACCCAGTATGTCTGGAGCAGTAAAAAACGTTACCCCAAGCAGCCCGTTTCGCACACATCCATACGCAATTCCATAAAGATCACTCAGTAGGCACTGATAGGCAGTAGGCACAATAGCATACTGGCTACGAATACAACTAAACCGTTCAATAGCCAGCAGCTTTTTCTACTTAGCCCCTTTTGGACCGCAACCGCTCCTCGCCTACATGCTGAATGACGGTGACGGGAAACTAGTTTGCGTTATAATTAAAAATACTGATGCGATTGACCACTATACTGATGGCTGCCCGGCCATCACTCACGTATGCTAATCAGCTATGTAATCTGCCGTCCGCCTATTGTTGGCAGATTTGTCTGCTGGTAACCAAAGATGACTACGGCGAAATAAGGCCATAGCTACGTTTACGCATGAAACCTCACATAACAGCAGGGGCATAGCAAGTAGAGCGGGAACAAGTGCGGCCCAGCCGTCAAAGAGGTAATGATGTTGACATCTTAAATTAGGAGCTTTGTTAAGTGAGCTTGCAGCCTGTTAGCGGAGCAACGAAGAAGAGACAACTAGACGAAGCAGGGATTTCGCTTTGTGATATGTCATCATAACTCTGACTGAACAAAATAATAGAAAAAGACACACAAAGGGAATAATAAAGAGAAAGTCAGAACTACCGAGCGATCAAAACGCGACAAGACCCCTATCGGTAAAGAGAATCACCTGGTCACTTTGACCGGAACGTTCGAATTGGAACTGCTGCTTATGAGACAACACTAGGAACAGGACATACAAAGGTGCAGAGAGAAAGGGAAAGACGTAATGCGGCTAGCTATCAAAGAATTAAGTTGACCGACCGTCTGACAGAACTGGCACCGAATGAACAAGCTAGGTGGGCGCCTTTCTTGTACTCGAGTAGGACAATGACTGCTGGATTGATAAGAGGGAGCACAGCCCATGAAAGAAGAACTTGTTGGCAGTAGAATTTTTGCTTTCATATCCTGCTTTTGCAGTTGATGCTTTTGCGATATTAGGCGATCCGGAACGCAACCAGAAGGTTCCCTCTGGCCCACCTGCTACCTACTTTCTGACGAACCGGTGGCTGTTAGGAATCGCTTGAACAGAAGCAAGTCAACGGCACAGAGCTTGGTGTTTGGGATACACCATGTTTTCTTCTTGAAAGGATACATGGTGAAGACAATATAGTAGTAGGCTTGGGTTATTAGACAATAATTGGGGCGGTATCGGGGGCAAGCAATGAATCAGGGTGTCACACGCATATGTGTGCTAAAATATCGAAGCTACAACGTTAGCAACTACGGTAGTGAAACCAGCAAAAGGGACAACAGTAGTAGCCCATCGTCGCATTGTAGCGGAGTCGACGCCGAACAGAAAGCGACTGACTTCCACTGGTGGTATTTTGATAATGGTGGCAAATGTCCGTCACGTTTCGGGACGGTTTCCCCGTTTTCTATTGCTGTTTTTTTCCGGGCGACTTGAAGACGTCGAAAGACATCGACGACACTTCCGTCCGGTTTTGAGCTAGGCGACGTTACTAACATATCTGTTGGAAAAGCTTTCGATCGGCTGACAGCGACTGGAGGGGTTTGCCAAAGAAAGCTAGGGTCAGTGAGTTGCAGGAACTCACTTGAAGAAAAAGCTGCTCCTCTCAAATGCGGCGAAAAAGCTAATGCACGCTACAAATCACGTAGCTTGTCACCGCACATACACAGACCTACACCGCAGACGTACACGTAACTTCAATTACGCTTAGAAAGAATTTAACTTCAGTTGGTAGAATGCATGTGTTCGTAAAGTAGACTTTGAGAGTCCCTCTGATCGTTATATGCAGAGGAAGGATTGGGCCGGGACAAGCCAACCGAAGAGCAGTAGTCTATTAAATTCGTAGAGCTTATTTGGTAACCATCAAGATCTATTATGTGTGAAATCGGACGGACTATTTTAGTCAATATGGCGAAAAAAGCGGACAATGGGAAATTTTTATGGCGTTGAGAATCGTGATAATTTCAGGGCTGCGTTCAGGCTTTGTCGTAGAAATAGGAGATACAGCGGATACTGTTGAAAATGTACAAACGTAACATATCAGGAATTTTCATTGATAACCTTATACAAATCATTTTTATGTCTACTAAGATCAGGTACGCATGATTCCGTCCGATATCAGCGCGTGTATGTGAATACGAATGGCTTACAATAACTAAAACGAAGTTCAATTTACGGGCTTATTTTTATCTAAGCGTCTTCTTCGTTACAGCAACTGGCAAGGTTTAAAGGGATGCCATTTTCGATTTAGGAATTAACGCAACATATTTAATTATTATCATCGAGAATGTGTAATTTCTAACTGATTATACTAGCTAAGTTAATTTATTATCTGATTTCTCTGTGACCGCTGAATGAACAATTCATTAGTATTCGGTGTAGGCAATATCATCCCCAATCAAAAGCGAGTGCTAGACACTCGCGGCGTTTCGGAACCCAGGCAAAATGCACAGCGCCAAAACAACGCAGAAGGGGCAAGGCCCATGCACCGCGTGTAGTCAGTTGTTCGTATTCCGGCCGACTGCCATAGGCGACCGCACACGACAACCTCATGCTGTACAGCCGTACAGCGGATTACGTCATTAATCAGCTGAACTCTCCCTTGATACCCGGCAGGCCATAGCGACAACTCGAACCCTGCCTATCACACGTATGGGGACGTTTCATCGGGACTTGTGTGAATGGAGTAACTCCCAGAGGTCATCTATCAGGTCCTCAGTCCATAGTGGTCTCTAACTTTTCGAACCTTTTTTTGACAAACTTTGTTCTTTTATTTGAAATTAAAGTTACTGTCTTAGACCTTCTGCTGTTTAGATGGTAACTTATTTATCCCGCTGCTACAGAAGTTTCTAGCACGAAAATGTATGAGATCTAGAAAGGCAATTTTAACATCATGTTGAGATTTGAATAAATTTCACATTGGCAAATCGTCAAGATTCTGAGAAAAATGGTGCTAGTCTGTTGAAGCAGTTCCTGGCGAGTATGCAGGATAATAAAAACTGCTGTGTAGCTCCTGTATATTTGCTACCGTGGTTCTTGCGATGTGAGGTCCAGTATTGTCGCCCAACGGAAGTGGTTTACCTCTTCTCGCTAATCTTAGCTGCTTGATACGGAGTCCTCTCATAATTTACTCCATTTGTTACCCGTACACTTCGACGAATCAGGTTCCATGAAGCTGTTTTGGATAACACCTGTTCTAGACCACCGAACGGGTCTACTGCAACTGTATATTCGCTCTATAGTAATATACTGTCAGTTCAGTTGTACCTACCTTGTGATGTGACCGCCTGCGATTATCATAAACGATTCATTTTTTTTTATCAAAATCATGGGTCACCGTTGTAAAGGCGAAGAGGAGCAAACGTTCATACGTTTCCGTTTTTGATTATCGCTCAAATCATGCGGCACTCATTTGTCGAGTATTTCTTCCTTATCAATTTGGATGGTTAACGCATGTAGTATCGTTATGTACACCAAATCTGCGCGTTAACATCGGCGCACTTTTAAATGGGTCGCTTTACTCTTTGTTACTTATCTTCGCAAAGAGTCTTCCACGAGACCCATTTTTGAGTCCAAAATTTTTCATTTTGAATCATGATAGTAATGTTTGTCACGTTTCATACTGAGCAACATGATATTTTTGACGTCTTTCTAGGATCTCCACTAAAAACGGAACTTTCTCTCTTCTCGTCCTTCCAGATGTGGCTTTAATTTCTATAAAAATCAAGTGAAAACCATCTGTACTTGTTTTCTGACACTGCAGCCTCATCATATTGAAAAATTGAGCTGCATGAAAAAGCATGAGCCTGTTTAGAGGTCTGCCGTGCCTGTCCGGCGAAATCTCTCAGGTATCGGATCTGCAAAAATAAGGTGAGTTTTTCAGAAAAAACTTATATATGCATAAGAACGTCACACTTTAATTACCAATGGAGTGTGATCGCTGGCGTCTGGCTAAAACCCGCATATTATAGGTCGACCTGATGTATGTAACAACAACCTTTGTTATCGAACGAATATTAACATAACGTAATGCACGTTGCGGGCTGAGTCAATCATGTATGTAGTGGCAAACATTACATACGTGACTAGCGCGATATGATAGTTTATTTATATGATAGTTTGAATCTTGGATGGCAACCCGCGTGTGTGAGATACCATTTGGGCCTATATAAACCAAGGGAGTACTTACCACAGATAAAGAGGATGATGAAATATATACAAGCAACGGCTCCAAAGGAACCCACTCCTCCAAATGCAAGGATGCCATCATACATTACAACGTTCCAGTCTTCACCGGTTAGAATCTGTAACAAGCAAACTGTTCTATTAGCAGGTGGTTATGGCCTCACTGGGAGGGCTGTGCTGTAGGCTTTGGCCGTCTGCGTTTCGCCACAGATCTAACAGAATATTAATTGCAAAGGCCCTCACCCAATCAAGGACGAACCCGATTCAAAGTGTTTCATGGGAAACAGTTATTCCACTTGCCAGTTGTCCTGGTGAAATGGAGCGTGTAGCATCGTAAGATTAAATTTAAAACTGTCTAGTTATTAAGAAAAAGCGAATGCTGTCTATTTGTTTCTTAATTGAAGCACTCGTCTTAACATAATTATAGTGGGGTTAGTGGCAAAAACGATACGCGGATTCAGACCTGAAAGACGGTAAGCAAGGCCTGCCAGAACGAGTCGAAGTTCTGACGTGGCTTATCCTGGTTGTCGTTAAAGTTGAACTTGCCTCCGAATACCTGCATGCCCAATAGGGCAAAGATCATTATGAACAGGAAGAGAAGCAGCAGCAGCGAGATGATCGATCTCATCGAATTGATCAGAGACGCCACGAGGTTGCGTAGAGACGCCCAGTATCTGCGATTATTGATACAATCCACCGTCGGTATGATAACGTTGATGAAGTATCAAGCGGGACAAAAAAATAACACGTCGTTAGTTACGGCTTAATAGCGATCACTAAGATTTCGCTAGAAGTAGATAGATACTAACGGAACAAAAACATCGATGTTAGTTGAAGGATTATTTAGCTAAATAGGTGCATGTCCAGCAATTTTTTAGCACAACCTGCGCATCTAGAGATGAAGCAAAGCGTAGGTGCAAGCCTAGGAGACAACACGTACGGAAATATGGACACATAGCCGTATTTGATTCTAGTCGGGCAATCTGAGAGTTAATCAAAATCAGTTGATGAGCTGGTTAAATTGTTAAGGATTGATTGATATGACACGTGGGGCCAAGAGCACGTCAGGTTGCAACTAGAGAATTTAACATTATGGGTTTCTGCAACGGAAGAGAAAATTGAAGTCTTTTGCTGGCTACAATTTCATTTCCTATACGGTATTTTTTACGGATGATCGGAACATAAAAAAGAACATGTTCTCTCCAAGTCGTCTCATTCTCAGTTGAGATGATAAAAGTAAAGGAAGACCGAAATCTTACTTGTCCTTATACGGATATACTTCTTAAACCTACTGATTATACATTAGTATGTGAAGTCAAAATGGAATATACGCTTGTCTACGAGGAAACTATCAAGCTTAAAATTTCGGGAGGTGGTATTCTACCAGTCGAATAATTATGGACGGCCTTGAAAGCAATACCTGATTCATCCATGGAACCGCACTCTTTTGTAGTTTCCAGGTCTGTCTTTTGCTCATCATACAGTAATAAAACTGCTCTAATTAATCCCTCGATTAATCAGTTAATTTTCGCAATTATCATAATTGTACCAGCACTTCTATCATACACAGAATGATTATGTGACCGAATAAGAAACAAAACAGATATGAAATTCTCATTATTTACTTCAACTGACTTGCGTATATTCATCTGCCTTTCGCCCATGCGGATGGACGTCCTTTTCAGATGCATATTATCGAACTTTTTCTACCCTATTCATTCAACTTTCAGCTTTATAAGCGATTCGTTAAGTAGAATAACATGTGACCGTTGCAATCGCTTAGGCCGCCTAGGTACGTTCGGCCCGCAAAACAATTTCTCCCTACGGCCTACGTCCCCAGACACTTGAGTCTGCATTAGAGACACAGTTATTTGATTTTGCATGCGACGTTAGTCCGCGGTAAATGCCAGGTCGCGGCAAGCTCTTCCCTCAGCTTTCCATATCCTTAACCAATTTCCTCGATCGTAAATATCCCTGTCCAAGACCGATGTGGCCCTTTTGTTCTAACCCCCTTTACTTTCGCCTTCGCTTCGCACAACGGCGTCTCCATATAGTGTTTCAAAAAGGTGAGACGATGACTGCTGCCGTTCTGGTTCTAGCCGACATACTTTTGAGCGCGCCGACGCGCTCCGTCCAGTCTCCTGGCTTAACTTCGCCCTCCCGCCATCTGCTTCAACATAGGAAGGAGAACGAATAGAGCAGCTTGTACCGAAGTTGCATTAACAGGGGATGCCGCCTCGGACGAATAAGTTAAACAGAAAGAGAAATAAGGAACGAAATAAAAACCCAGGAACAGTTCTCCCTATGGGCGCTCGATCTTTGTGCTGCCACGATAAAAGACAAAAAGAGAAATGTATTTACCGTTCTGTTGCTGGCCTGCCTATGACGGTTCTTGCAGCGTGGGCCACGTCACATGCATCTGGCTGCGCGATCCATTCACAAGGATCTACCTATTGCAGCCTATATGGGCTGGTTTATTATTATTACCGCTGCAACAGCGACTGCAGGCTAGTGGTACGTTTATGTGGACCTGAGTGTGTGTGATGTTTACTGTGTGATCCTTATAACAAATTGGCATCGAATTCTGGGAAGCTTGAGAAACGAAAGTGATCGGTCAATGACTTTGTGGAGATGCAGCTGCCAAACGAATCGATAAAGTTCAATTGAAAAAATAACTTTTTCTTGTTTGAAAACTTCGAGCTTCAAACGAACCCAGTTGCTGGGTCTACCTGTTACTCGATTTTCTTCCGAAGTGATTAGAAGCCATGATTAAAGAATGGAAAAAAAGTCTAACATAACATTCGAGTGCATTTTATATATGCAGTATACTTTGGATGGAAACGAAGATGAGCCTTCGCCGGTATGAGCGCTAGCTAAATTTTTAATTGCGCATTTGATGGATGACAAAAACTTGTACTGCGTATTGAATCTATATGGGCATTCTAATGTAATACAACGTTACACTGCTACGTATCACGGGCGTCGTGCTCCTCCCTTTTATAGTTCTTCACGGTTTCGACAAACGCGCCACTAAAAGGCCCATAGTAAATATTGACAGTGTGTGGAAAACTAATAAGAAGCTACAGAAAATAGTAGTTTTAACATGTCCGCTCTAAATAACATATATTTTATCTATGTATACAGTGAATATCTTGAGTTAAACTGAAACATTTTTTTTTTTTTTATAAGGGAGCGTTTTTGCTAGATAAAAAACGATGTAGATATTATCAAGTAAACTGCGAATACTCAGTAGTGTACACATGGCAAACGCGACATAATCTCTTATCTTCAACAGAAAACCTTTTACCAACTCTTCTTTTTAGGGGGCAAATTTAGGGAGCTGCTCTAGCTTAATGCAATAGCCATAGGGAAGAACGCTTTTTCATGAGAAGGGCCGTGACCCGGATGAGATTCGTGCATCCGACAGCAGCCAGAAATTGAACGATATGCGCAGCAAGACTTGAAAAGGAGCGTTTGTCTAGGCTGACCTGATTGATTTGTGTAGCGACGTAGTCCTAAGAAGGCGTATCTCGTTCGCCAAGCCACTCAGGCCTTCCATAAGTTTACAAAAGGCAGCTAGGTTTTCGAGCTCAACGTGCCCCTGAAAATTCCTGATTTGCTCTGCCTGTTCCTTTGCCTATCTTGTCCTTCCCCTACAGCTGCTTAGGATACATAAATTTCCATAGCTCCCTGGATTGTTTACTGGTCTATGACGCTGACAGCTTTGACGCACACATCTTTCACCACTTGTCGCTATCCACTTTCCTGGCCTCAACTAGCATAACGTAAAAATATTTGTGGGCGTTTGGGATATAGGAAAAAAAAGCACAAAAAATAAGCAGTCGACGAACAACAGGTCGCTAGACTAGCCTGGGGCTAAATAACTGCGTCGCGCATAAAGGTTACGATGTGATAGTAAGATCTTTCCAATGCCGGTGACCTGATATACATAGAAAGAGCATTGAGACGGGGTTAAACTACCAAATGATGGTTGACCGTCAATCATCTACCCGAAACCATTCCGAGTGCTTGACCAGTATCAGACTGAGTTTCGCATTAAACCTTGTTGGGTCAATGCATCAAGTTGTTTGATCAGTATTTTAAAGTTAAAACGAAATAACAGCTGCGAAGTTTGCTGAATATATGCAAAGGGCACAGTCACTACGTGTGAGCACAACGGGTGGATAATGATCATTTTGAATCGTCTACTTTTCACACGTTTTCCCTTCTATTTTCAAAAGATCTCATGTATTCTGTTACTCATTATAATTGTACAAAGCAAGTTCATCCTGTATTTATATGATGAGCGGAAGACTATTGATTTGTCAATAGAAGCGGCGGGCATTAAATTTATTTACTATTTTAGTGTAGTTATTTTGAGATTATTGAAGACAATGCATTTTACAACGCCGCGCATTCCCACCCTAAAAATTGCTTTTTAAATAGATATAATAAAATAAAATAAAATAAAGGGCAAACATAAGTAATAAAATTGATATTCTCATTTTAATAGTGAGTCACGTTATTAATTTGATCTGGATTTTTAGAAGCCCATCTCTGGATGAATTGCGCCTCGAATTCTATGCCCGTGACTGCTGGTGAGGACTGTTTCGGACCTTATGGTCTGCCTAGACCATAATAAATAGTGAATAGTTAATGCGAAAGGTCCTTAGCACGTCTATAAGATTGAAGTGTTTAACCTCTCGGCACTGACCTCATCTTTTAATTTAATGTTTAACGACGAAATGAAGTTTCTATAAGCTGAGGTTTTTAACGATGACCAGTACAAAATACGAAGAGCACTTATGTTTCGTTTTGTCGCTTGCACGTTTTTCAAAGCCTTGTTCTCTGTTTATACCCCCAAAACTTCCCGTTAATTTTTTTCGTGTTTTTCTTAGCCAGCCTTTGCAATCACTTCTTTATGTGTAGTATCAAAGACCTGTCCCCTATAAGGTTTTTAACCAAGGCAGGTCATACTGGATTTATTTGCACATGGCACGTTAGTCATGCAAACAGTGACTAATCTTAACGTTTTATTTTTCCTTAATTCCTTATTTTTGGTTATTTGTTCATGGGGGTAACAATTTTTGCCAACGCTAGAATTCAAACCGACGTCACTGCAAGCTTATTCCTAATGATCACTCAAAGAGATGCGCATCAGTTACCCGGATCACGCAGCTAGTTCAATTATTCATACGTATGGTAACTATGATTAATCTATATTGATTTCGTCTACTTTTAGTATACGATCTTTAAATTCTACTAGGAAGAATTTATCATAAGCTCTTCTCATTTTTCGCCCAGCTATCTTCTTCCTACTTCCCGAGAACCTCAAAATGTTCCTCCTAGAACGAACAAGCTGGCTTAGCGTAAAAATCAAATGCACCTAAAAACCCACAAGCCTCATCTTCCCTTATCCTACACGCTCGTTCAGCTGCCCCCAAAAAATGTGATAACCTTGGCACAAATAAATCCAAAGACGATGAGTGAAGCTTGGCAGTGCCATCACTCAAGGCCGCAGCGTTTACAGAGTTAAGCGAAGCGGATTCGCAAGCATCAGGATAAATGGATACCTCCCTAGTCAAGTGTTTGAAATTAAGCTTTTTTCGTCCAGTGACAGTCGTGAACAGCTGAATCTTCCCACTGACATAAGAACGATACGCGCTGCAACCATAGTACAGATATTATGCATCACCGTAATCGTTCCATGATCCGGTCGATGACAAAAGCCCGCTGTTTTAATTTGCAGATACGTGATGTCAGTAGGGCATCGATGCCCTGCCAATAGATCATAGCTATCGGTTACGTCCATCCGCACCATCGTTTACGAACGAAGAGTCAATCATATAATATGTTTAGTGAGAGTTTGCAAACAGTGCAATCCGCACGGACTCATCGATCGGTTCGTAGAGCAGCGTTCGATGGGCTAGCGTTTTTTTACATTATTTGCGTTTGGATACAAACATTTGAGCTGTTTTTCTTAAAATTAATATTGTCCTTTCATGCATTGTCCACACAGAGAATACGCGAGATCATAGCCGTGCACCTAACTGAACTGTGACCCCGTTCAATCTTTTCTAAGCATGCATGTACTTGATCAGAGCTCGGCTTGATGCTGAGACAGCCAATCAATCTATCGAAAAGTACGTGTCATATACGTATAGGTCCGTTTTTACTGCTCGTTTCATTTCGTCTCATAACGATAAGGTAGCACTGCTCGAAATAGACGCGACAGATAGCGAAGATGGCCATGCATTCTACCAGCTGATAATTTCCTGTTGCATTGCATCCTATTCGATGACCTACGATGAGACTCTTTCGAAAATGTTTCTCGGTAGAGTGCTGCTTTTTGTTTTGGAAAAGTACTTGCTTGGTAACTTTAAATATGCGTAGTAATCGGACACATCGAAGTACGGATACGCCCAGTGGGGGCATGATGTGTGAATATGTGAACGCAGTTTCAAGTATCGACGAGATCACGACGAAACAGTCGAAGCGGTTGAACAGCGAGACGAAGTAGCTCTGTAAAAGTGTAAGAAGAACGTTGTTTACAGATAGTCTATGTTAGGTGCCTGTAAACGCGATACAACTTACATTTGTTTGGAAATGACATGACTAGTCAAAATCATCACAATATATGGCGTAGGGTGGATTATGGGGCTTGACCGTTCTTCATCCTGCAAAAAGGCATGCGAAATACATTCGTTCGAGCATTTTGTATGTTACTGCATGACGCAGGAACCTGTATGTATGCAAAAACCCTGTACGTCGTTAGAACTTCGATGGTATTCCTTGGGTTGCGACTTTCTGAAAACGCATAACCGGAACCCTTTGCGGTGTCGACACACCGTAATTTGAAGATTCTATTCAGGCCTTATCGTTGATCTTATTATGTTAACCTTTTAGTTCTCCTTGAGCCCTGCTACTGTTTTAATCGAATAAGTAGTTTCATTTGCGACCCAGTTTTTCTCTTTGAGTCATTAGCAATCGAGATGGAATCGCCACTGCCACGGTCCTCGATGTGTTTTCCTGCATTAGTTTATAACATAGATTCATACCTAGTGCATAGGTCGTTCCGCTGTTATTGTTGCTCAAGGTCACTCGGTTTTACAACGTACCGTACGTTATCGCCTATTCTATAAAACCTCTCTGATCTCTATAACTTCCACGCTCGCTACCTACCGTTGTGGCAGACAGCCTTGTTCTCCCTCCAAGAAGTTAGGTTTAGGTGATCTATTCAAAGATATCGAGAAATTTTCGTCTTTGAACGAGGAAGCTTATTTTGAATTCTAGCTATGCCTTGTGCATTGCACGCAAGCCATACAACCATATTCAAATTAGAAAATAAGATGGTTGTTAATTAAAGCTAGGATGATACTCAAATTAATTTCCAACTCGTCCGAGACTCAAATGATACATTTCCAAAGAAAGAATTTCCAACTTTATTATCATTAATCCCAGCATATGTTTGCCTTCGAAGCCTGCGACGCATCATTGGCTTAGCGGGTCCCTCATTCCGTCCCTTCCACCCCGCTCCTTCTTATTGCATTTTCATCTCCTCGTACGTGCGTGGACAACCCAGGATTCGCAGGCACATATGGTATTCATTAACTGGTAGCTAACGAACAGCAGATCGTTGTGGGCTGAAGGTATGTTTAAAAGTGCACTGGAACCATTAAGACAGATGCTACTGGATATAAGCGAATCTGAGATGGAAAATTCACTTCATATACATAACATCAGGAGAGGTTGAGGAACCGTGTAAGCAAGCAGTCAGTCTAGTTGTTTTTGTCGTAGAGAAAAGCTTCAGATTCCTTGCGATCGGCGTTTTTCTTCCCTTCTGTAGGTGCCACGTGCTCGCATATAGTCTCGTTTAATTTACGCGCGCTTTTGTCACATAAATTCAAAGATATCGTTAAACAATAGGTGGATAGTTTTCAAAAAAAAAAAAAAGATGGCGGCCCTTAGTGGAAACATAGGAAACATTCATGAAACTAGACTAGTAAGCTTTTAAACTATTCGAGATTGACGACTTTTTAAGAAACAGACTTTGACTGTTCTTCAAAAGTATATACTCATGTTATACGTTTTGCTCGGCTTGTTTTGAGCTGCACTAAAGGTGTTTTGCTTTGTTAGATCCGCTCACCGACTACTCGTTTATCTTGAATAGTTAGACTTCGTTGTTATAGTAAAGACTATTTATCAAGTAGAACGTAAGTGTTTTATCTTCGTTATATTCCCTGTAAGTGCAAACCTGGAATCCGAGCGAGTAGAGTTTGATGAGCATCTCGATCGTAAATAGAACGACGAAGAACATGTTTGCGTAATCCTGGAACTCGTCGAGCCACGGGGGCTGGTTGTGGTGCTCACTCGCCAATGTCATCTAATTCGTTACCGGTGTGTCAAACAAAATTGATTGAATTAGATAATCGGATAAGAAGCATGAAATCCAACAACGTCAAACTTAGTTTTTCGGGCTAACAAAAACTTATATTGTCCTCTTAACTTCTATTTTTTTTTCTGTGACTCGCGCCTTCAAGCAGAAAGAATGCATTGTAAAATACAAGAGAGTTTTAAAGTTCAAATGGCAGCCAAAGCTAGTTTCCTAGATTGCCGTTTTCTTAGCCTGTTTGGCCGTTGATTTTTTTTGCAAAGGTGTGTATTTTACATACGAAATCTGGGTCGGTCGAGAAATATACTGTTGTTATTATTATTGCAAGTACTTCTATATGAATCAACAAAGGTAATGTTTTTCTTCTCTGTGCACTCCCTCATAAAAACGCAGAGACCCCCTGTTCTTGTCAACATGATCAACACTACTCAAGCGATTCGCTAAAAAAGAAAAACAATAAATATATTGCAGTGGACTTGGAGGCTGTCTGCAATGATGGTGTTCACAAGTTGCTTAAAAAATTAACCTTATTCCAAGGTAACGGGGTCAGGAAGTTCTACAGGCCTGTCTAGCCAGGTGATTTTAAGATGATTTAGAAACTGAGCAGACAAGGATTATTAAGCAGAAAATCGCATTATACAAAAGACCCACATACAGTGTTGTTGGGTACTTTGTTCGTTATGAATCAACCGTACCAGAGTCGAAGTAATTTCAAAACAAATGCAGGTACGTAGACAATAAAAGGTGTGACCTTAATAGACGACGTCGTAGTTAAAACACGTTGGCTAAGATCGCATTTTACCAAGGTAAAAACCTGCCCGTAAATGAGATTAGGTTCTAATTAAAAAAAAAAAACCTGTGTAAGGACGGAATTGGGAAAATGTTCGGAGACCAGCACAAGTACATTTCCGGCCTAATACTAAGTCAGTAATTATGATAAAAATATTGTTTCACACGTTGAATTTTCCGATGCACTTTATAAACTTAAATAGTTGATCACTGTGTTACCTATTTTGTATCTAAGTTGAGGACACGTCAGAAGTACCGAGACTTAGGAGCAAAATGAGATACCTTGTGCAGGGCGATCCGAACATAATCCCCTTATGTTGAAGACATAAAAAATTGTATTGGCGGGTGATATTTAGAATAAGCCAGTCAATATTAACTGGATCAACTTTGGGTCTGCGTAGACTTTGCTTCACTGAATCGTTGGAATACATGTATCTATGCTAGCTAGTTATACTCTTGTATCGTATGTTTCGTGTACTGTTGAAAACCTACCGTGTTAAGGAATACAAGAATGATGACTATCCAGTAGAAAGCCTGCGACTTGACGCCTTTGCGACAAGCCCGTCTGAATCGTCGATTTAAACGAGCGAGGTCTCGCGCATGCGTTGCCCACCAGGTGGGCGTTTGCTGATCGCTCAGTTCGCCGCTACCGTTTAACTCCTGTTCTAGACCTTCTTCGAGCACAGACAATACAGCGTCCGCGTCTTCTAGTTCATCCTGAAGTGACACGTATGAAAAGAATAAACACGAGTCAACATGAGTACATGGATGACTTATCTATTGTTTGCAATAAAAAAACTATATATATTATTGTTTATAATTATAACAAGAGAGGTGGCGGTTCAAGCCATTGCGTCGGTTACATATAGTGTATATGACACATATAATAAGTTGTGTATCATTGTACATATCATTTTCAGCAATGAATGTTTTCAATGATAGTTCATCGTTTTCTTATAAAAGTTAGTTGCTGCCTCGTAGTTAGTCCCGATGCGATAGTCATTTAGCAGCTAGAAGCTGACGGTATCAGTGTAAATAAATTACATTGAACCTGGAGTCCAAGCAGCCTTTTTTGAATAACCGTCTACAATTAAATAAAAAAAAAACTGCTTCTGGCGCGTTTCCTAAGAGCTGAGACCTACGGGAGCTAAACAGCGATATGGCAATCTCAAATAAGGTGTCACGGAACGTACGTACCAATCTGCGTGCTGGCCGTGCTTGGCTGGCAGTAATCCGATTATACAGTCGTATTACTATATAGGCGCTGGAATTGGCTTTGCTTTCCGCTTATCTTGGCTGAACTATGTCTGTATTTCTATTATCAATTCGTGTTCCCTGTGTCAAGTGATTGCCCTCCGATAAATGTCAAAACCAAGTAGCTACTTACAGTATATACAAGGAACGCGTTGACCTCTACGAGTATTGAATGTAAGGGCGACATTTGTTCCTAAATTTAACGTGATCAGAGGCACGATTCTGAAGTTTAGTAAATATTAATAACGCGATAGAACTTCTCGCCACTGTCTCGTATCTGTTATTAGGCACTGACTCATACCTTATCCTGTGACGTTTTCCTACTCAGAATTTCCGATATTAGTCTACATCAATTAATATGCTTTTGAGAAGCTCATTGATACGCCATTAAACAAATGCAATGTTTTATGGTTCGACTTCATGCCAAATACATAGCCAAGGTCATACTTAAATGCTTACTCTTCTTAATCGCAGAAGTGCCAGTAATAACTACGATCAAGTTCCTTGATTAGTTTGTGGCAATATACAACTATATGTATATATGAATTTGCCCCCACTATATTTTACTAAAATGAAGTTAATGTCCCTAAGCGAATAAAGTTTTTACGTAAGCATTCAAGCTGGTTTAACCAGAGGCTCGGCACCACTTGGGCATGTAACTTAACCGTAACCTTAGTTGAACACGAGCCGAAGTTGGCGCTTCTCTATAAGATAGCTAGTTATGCAGTATGATTATATGTTTTTCGAAATAATATCTACATTAAGTGGACATTACACTATCTCAGAAACATCGAAAGGAAACTTTACATTCGGCTGGTCTCTCATAAAATACGGTTTGGATGAGCTGTGTACCAAATCAAAGAAAAGGAACGAGCGATTTTGTTTTAAATTACACACTATTAGCGAATACAACCACAGTACAGTAAATACCTGCATCAGATCTTTAATTCTACGACTACAGGTTAATCAGAGAATAATGGGTTCCAAACGAAATATTTTGTAACGTTGAAAATCATTGTTTTCCGGTTGGGGAGATCGCTGAAAGAACGCATCCGAGATCGGTGGAGACGCTGGCTAAAAAAGCCGTTAGCAAACTAACAGTTCGTTTCGGATGCAAACGTTTAAAGGACGAAAATCGGGAGCGCAGTGAAGATGACTTATACATTAGGGCTTCAAAACATTTATGCAAAATGGAGATCGAACGATGCGCTACTTGTCAACTTAATAAAAGATTTCTTTAAGCGAGAGTTATCAAATCAAGTAATAAAAACAGTGACAATAAAGAGGAAAAACAAACAATGGGTTTTCTGAAAGCCGAGTAAAACCTGTATAAATCAAGGTATGCCTGCGCAACTATCAGCAGCAAAAAATTAGCGAAAAGCACATCGTTGCTATAGACAAGAACAAGGTCGGCTTATCCTTTGCCCTAAAGAGGAATCAGGCAACAGAATAATCTCGAGCAGAAGGGACAATGACGTTCATTGCACTATTGAGTAGATTCAGAAGGTATATCGATGCTCATACTCGCAACTGATATCGAGAGCTATTGTTATTACGAGATACTGTCCGAAACACTGCCGGATATCTGGAACCCCTGAAAGGCACGCGCCATGCTTATTCGATGACAACGGAGCGTCTAATCGTCACGCTTTTACATCATCACAGTGTGAATCGAGGCAAACAGAACTACGTGAGCGATGACCTAAGTGCTTACACTCTCGAGATTTAAGCACATTTACTCTCGATCATTTAAGAAGACAATCGGTATCATAGCGTATCTCACCGTCAACCGGGAACGAGATTACGTACGAGTGCATAGACGTTGACAGGCTTTCTTTTATTTTTATTTACAAACAATAAAGTGGATATTAGCTAACACACATCTAAGTAACATTGTTCAGAAGCTAAGTTGTTATTAAGGTGATGTATAGAATGTGAAATGTGTTCTTTCTGTTTTTAGAGGAATAAGCGTTTATGTCGATATAGATTATAGATCGATTATAGAATCGACCCATCGCTTTTTTCTCGCTGCTTGCGGAGAAACGCGTCTTTCACAATTGTTATCTGTGCCTCGGTAACTCTTGTTTTGGAAAAACTCTTGTTATTATTAGAGGCGAACTACAAGTGGCAAGGAAACATGGGTGAGACGGTTCCGTATTTATTTTTATCGGTTTAAACGGTCTCTTGTTTAGGAGGCGTTTTTCGTTTCTGCTCTCATAGATACTTCTAATAGGTGTCACGCTATATCTCTGCTGCATGAGCAAATCACGCGTACACCTGCAAACTCCTGTTATGTAAAAAAAAAAAAAAAAAAAAAAAAAGTTAATCTTAGCAGGTACAATAGCAGATATAGCATACATTAGGGGACAAGGGCCGCTTTTACGCGGATGCTCATATCTAAAAACTTTCGCAATTCATACAATTACCACCCACAAAATGTGCGGATTAGAAGAAACTATCAGCGCTGCGGCCATATAGATGCTTACACAGCTAACCTTGCAAATACAACCTAAAACTTAGCCTGAGACACAAGGGTGCCACGTTTACGGGGATCCTCTTGAGTGACGTGACGTATTATTTTGAGTCACCAAAAAGCTAAAATCAGTGCGATTCAGAAGCTGAACTCTGCGTAGCCCACTTCGACATATTTGTCGTAGGCTTCCATTTACCTACTGTTAAAGGACACGAATGGTTTTGCCGTAAAATGTTCTAGGAAAAGGGCCGACAAGAAAAAGGATGCCCTTGTATTTCACAAATCCAAGAAACAATTGGTCTCCCTTAGGTTAGGTTAGGTTAGGTTAGCGATAGTTTGTCTACCACTGTTCTAGCGCTCATCTGTTTATTACTCAAAAACGATTAGTACGAAGGACGAATGACCTTCTACATTCATTTTGCTAATGGCGTACGATTCTTTATGTAAATGTAAGCAATAACATCGCAATAAAACGATTTACAAAATGGGTACCCTCAGTCCTATGGGCAACGCGAGGCTCGTATCTCTGGCGCTCAAAATCAGGAGCTTTTATTGTGCCTGTGGAAGAATTCTCTTTTCTGTTCGAAACAGGCCGTCGAGTTAGTCTATAATCGTCAGGGTAATAGTCATTCTGACGTAGATATAATGTTCGTTCAAAGGACTACTGATAGCTAATTTGTCAAGTTTATTGACTTGTTACTGTAAGTGGAAACTTTTAAGTTTACTTGTGCAAGGTGTCTCATCGATAATTAACACCTGCATTTAAGACGAATAACCTGAAGCATTTCTTCGAACCACTCTTAAACCGCTATCTAAAACTGCTTCTATAAGTTCATAAACAAGCATCAATTTACGATATAAGTGAAGCGATATTGAAGCCCACCTAAATTCATGTATAAAAATAATACCTGAAAGTTCAAAAAATCCAAGAGTTCTAGAGGAAAATGCCAGGGTACTCAAAGATTTGAAGAGGACCTAAACGTTGGAGCTTATACGAACTATATTCCAAATAATAGAGAACCTTATCTCGCGACAGCCTTTCACTCCTGTGTAAAAATTGCGCGGTAATTAGCAGTAGTGCTATTTTCTAGCCCTACAACCTTATCCGTATTGTGAACCTTCCGTTTCGGCATACGAAAACCGGGCTTGGATATTTCGCGGTTTCTATAATGGTGGCTAACAATATGAGATATACATTTTTTGAGCTTATAATCTCAATGGGAGTGCGTTCTATGCAAGCGCGTAACTTCCTTTCAAAATTTCAGACCTTTTGCTTCGGTCGTGATTTATTTATCATCTTTCTCTGACACGGACTATAGCCACTGCGGTACGAGTTGATAGGCCGCTAGCGATAGAATATTCAATTGGTTTTGTCCCGATGAAAATAGGCCTTTGTTTGTATACAACTCATGTTCCCCTGTTCTTTGGGATTTTTTGTTAATCGACTGGGCTTCAAGATAATAGCATTATCGTGTATATGTTTATTTACGTTGCTGGTAGCGCTGTTTCGTTCATAGTGCTTGATTGAAGTGGAGTGCACTTCCATATTAGGTTTGATTAAGTTTAAGTATATATTAGGTATATATAATATTAGGTTTGATATATATGTATGCTATAGTGTGTTGAAACGAATGAAATAAACATATGTAACACTTATACCTGGGCATAGTGTAGTGGGTATAATCGGAAAAGTTGTGAGTGAGACGTTCGTTAACTGCGAACAAAGGTCGATTTCACGCAGGTATTGGCATTCAAGGTGGACAAGATAAAATGGTCTCGCGCTTACATAGAAATACGTCGCAATATAGCTCATATGTAAAGGAAACACGACGCTAAGCCATCAAAACTAGGACATTTTTTTATTTGTTAATTGAATCCTATTGTAGAAAAAAACGTTGGTTGTTTTCATTTGGAATAATTAGAGAAACTATAGGCTTTCATAAGCGGGCAAATACAGAGTATATTATCTTCATTCATAACTGAGTGGTTTCCATTCGGCATTGGCACTAGGAAACCATTGAAATTTTGCTTTTTCAGAAAACACATTCTAGTCTGTTGAATATTACTTATATAATAACGTCTAGTTTATACCCGTATGTTTAACAATAGAGTTTTATTATATACTAAATCCAAGTTCATTAAAGTCCGTTCTAACTCCCGCTTGACAAAATTCAACAGCAGTTTTATTTCTGTTTAATTAGCTTCTTTTATTCAGTCGCTCTACCATGGCTACTACCATCAGATAAATCGAGAGACTTAGGAAAAAGATGGCAGAATGTTTGACTCTTTTTATTTACCATCTTTTATAGTGTTCACCGCTATCATCTTCAGTTATCTTTTTTGTCGAAAGCGTGCAAAGACAACATCAACCCACGTGTATGATGATAAACTAAAATAAGCCGACGATCATCCACTAAGCCCGAGGGGACCAGGCTTCTCGCTTACCTTATCAATCTCCCTTCCCCATTATATATGCAGAGCATCTGTCTGGTCCGGAACCCAAGAGGGCCTATTTTCAAACCAACCGACGATCGACCTTTGACCTAAAACCATCAGTCTAAATTCGCTAGGACAACGGCAGTGGTAAGCAGGAACAGGCAGGAATGGTGGTATGAGGTGAAACTGCCGAAAATTCCACCAAATGATGGCAGTAATGCTGGTCGCTGGTACTTGGGTATACCGACTCCTTCGATTTGGGTTGAGTAGGCTACTTGGTCAATCAATTTCTCCGTAGACACAACCTATTATGCATATGTTTGCAACGGCCGACTAGTTATATGAACGTCACAGACAAGCTTGTTTCGGGGTGGAATGAATGCACGTAAACCGACGCCCAGAACCTTGAGGGGAACGGAGGAAGACAGAAAAAAATATTTGTTTCTGATATGACGTCGCTGTCCTTGGTGCTATCAGGACTGGTTCGTCTGTCGGTACTTAGGTCAGGGTGGTGCACTTGACCCTGCCGACCTTGAGCACGATCGTGATAACACGTAAGGGCCTGGTTGCCGGGCAGCGGCCAGGAAGACCAGAGGCGGCCTCGGTGACCTCGATTGAAAAGCAGCTCGATGCGGTAGCAGCAATGCCAGCAGAAGCGGCGGTTTGAAAAGGGCGTTCTAATCTCAACGAGCATGTTTGGTGCCGCCGCTCACATCATATTATTCGCCGGGGGTATAGACAAGAAAGAGCTGGAGACTGAAGGAGAGCGTCAGGCAGAAGTACAGCAGCTGGTACCTGTTGGATCTGCTAAAGCGGTGTAGCTGATACTCAAAGCAGCATGCGTGTTGATCGGCACGGAAATATTAAAATCTCCCCATCGTTTTTTCCGTATAAAGCTGGTACTGCCATTGCATCGTCTGTCTTTCAATGATATAGCTCTATTAGACCGCCTGTGATCGCTAAGCAGATCATGTCTGGAACATTATTATTAGCGCCGACCATACTGCATGGCAGTGATAGCAGTGACTAACAGGAAGCTTTCATCATTTGTTATACGCTTATGGTTAGGCGTTCTATCCCAGGCCTGATTAGACAGGGCCTACTCGCCCTGCTTACTTGATCTGGCTGACTGACATAATAAACCCCTTCGCATCTACTACATGTCAAGGCCATCTCAAACATTTTCAAACTTATAGGGGTTCATTTGTAATCGAGTGCAATCAAAAAGCCAGAAAACACGAGCCGATCGGGTACAACGCAGCTCCAAAGCACTTCCAAGCGGCGCTTTTGTTTGAATGGACGCACTGCTCAACAGCAGTAGGTTACCATTTAGAACAACAACATTTTCGACTTTTCTCTTGCCTGATCAAACCGCGGTACGATTTAGGTAGAAGTAGAATAGTCTTTCTGTATATTAACCCTGCTAACGCTAAAACAGAGAGATAATCTAAATTTCCGGTTTACTTTTTTCGATGTATGCGCTGTGTTGCATGAGCTTCCTATAGGATACCTATCATGCCAATAGATTAGATATCTTTGTGTATTCGTCGAAGGGATTCGTTTGAAGTAGATTTGTGAAGTAACTGTACCCGAATATCATTTTTGAATGAAGTGATAAGTGGAGACAATTAATTGAGGCAGCTAATTGTAATTAATATTATATTATTAAAATACCTTACTGCATAATAAGCGCTTAGAAAAAAAAACAAAAATGCTAATCTCAGTGTTGACAGTGAGATAAATCTTGCATCGTGCTGAGCGCCTGAAGACTTCGATTTGATGATGTTAGTTCATGACACTTGGCCTGTTGATGAGATAGATTTGTCTTGTTATTTGATGGTTTACTATTGACCATTTTGGTCAGCGTATTCCTGTGTATGTGTGTGTGTGTGTGTATTTATCGTTGTTTGACTTTATGTAAATGCTCACTTTGTCTTCTGCATCTTCCGCTTGTGTGATCCAGTCCAGGTATCCTCGAAGATCTTCTTCAATTTGTTGCTTTTCACGCAATTTGTGAAAGTCGCCTCGGGCTTTTGCTTTTTCCCTTTCTTTGGAGAATTCTCCTGATAATACACCGAGAACGAGGTTCAGCACGAAGAATGACCCCAGAATGATCAGAGACACAAAATATATCCATGGCCATTCGTTTCCTACGGCGTCATTCATATTATATAGTACCTGGAATCAAGGAGATATAATCATTCAAGCACGGGATTAGCAACAGCGCCACTTCGGAAATATTTTATTGCAAAAAGTACATATTATCTATAGGTTAATTGTGAAATAGCCGAGGCCGGTCCTATAAACCCAATCAAATACCGCTACTTTGTCAATTTTTCAGCTCTACCTTAGGTGCTAATACTCTCCGAGACTCTGTTATAGATCCGGACTATTTTTACATGGTACGAGGTGTGTGATGAAAATTTTCCAATAGGTCTAGGTGGAGCCACGAAAAACTATCAACCAGTAGGTGCATATATTTTAGGCACCATGCATGCGCTTGCTATGTTTTAAAGGTCACATAAGAATGGAACACGCGTACATGATTATGGGGCCGTTTCGCATGTTTTTTTTTGCGTTCTACATGTTGCACGTTACGAGTATATCCATATAAGTCTTAGTGAATGCTTTAAATGATTTCGCCGTCTCGAAGCGGGACACAGACGACAGTCATTCATCGAGTCGTTGTGCTCAATCCTCTATGTCGGCCACCAGCCCTCTGTGAAGGCACATGGGTGGAACGTATATGATTGGTTGTTCTGCACGGCACGTTTCCTACAGCTTTCCAACTGGGCGAATCTGCATTTCCTAGACATGTTAGCTGTTTCTTTGCATTTTTGAGTGGGTTATAAAACCAGCTGAGTCCTAAGGAAGAAACAGTTTGTTTGCTGATTGAGAGGCGATTTCAAATTTGCTCGGCTGAAATTCTCCTACGCGTACTGCGAATCCCATCATCCGCGCCTGGTGCCGCCTGTTTGTTTCCATCTAACCTCGCTCTTGATTAGACCACCTCGCTCATACTCCGTCTTCCCAGTCACATATGTACATGTATACCGATTGGCTTGGCAGAGAGATGACCCATGGAAGAACGACGCTCTACGAGCTCATAGAACTTGGTCGGAGGTTTTTAAGTTCTTTGTTAGGACCCTTATATATATGCACACAGCTCCACGCTTAAATCGAAGATGGACATCTTCGAAATTGCAGATATTTCGTTCAACATAGGCGAGAAAAGTACCACGAACGGGAAGCCGCTCATTCCTGTTTGGCCAGATGAACGCTCCTACAAGGCCTGTCTGCACGCGCACACGACGACGACGACGAAAAAAACCTTGGGCATATCTGTTGATACTAAGCAAAACGCAGGCCGTATCAAATAACCGATAGATATTTTCCAATGACTGCATAATGTGCCGAATACATAAATTGCCTGTCGCGAAGAAACTTTCGTGTGTAGAGCATAGGGTACGTAAAGCATAGTGGCCGGATGTATTTTGAGACCTCGGCTACCGAAAGCCTTAGAGACACGGAGCGTAGCATGAGCCAACGAAAAGCGAAATAGCGTAAAAAGGTCTTATCTAAGGCCACAGCTAACAGCATTAAAAGAAACCCTATAACGAAGCGGTTCAATTACGAGGACAGGACTTGAAGCGGGGGTACTTCACAATACAACCGCACACTAATTCAATGTTGTCGACGGGCACATTCATCAAGTAATGCTACTCGAGGTTGGTATATAGAATAACATAAGTGTGGCAGCATATTAAAACCAAACATTAAAACGGCTTGATCTTGTTGATACCCTTTTGAGTATACGGTTGCAAACTGGGTCACCGTGCTATTTAATAGCATAATCCTGATAATGACGCGTAGTGTTGATCAGCGTTATCAGCAATAATTTCATGGCCTCGTGCAACAAAAGGTAGACCTAACAAAAGGTATGACAGCTTGAATGCCGTATAAGACTACAATGTTGTATAGCATTTCCCGCTCATTCTACTTATACAATTCAGCATCAGTATTCCTCTTTGCGTAAATTCTAGCTAGCCAAATTGCATCTACCAGGCCCATTTGTAACTTAGCGATGATAGTATAATTTGTTTGATAGACTTTATTGCTCATCTTTTTTGTGTGGACATCCGAAAGGGTCACGGGATGGCATGTAGCACAAGAAACAACGTCCACGACAAACGGTACTACGGGAGACCCATGTCCTACAAAGAGGGATCGACAGAACAAACATATCGTAAGAAAGAGTCCTTCGAATATAAGCAACGTTCTGGCCGTTGTTGCTCCTAAATTCAGCTGAAGAGATGCAGCTGTCACGAAGACCGGTGTCGAACGTCCTGTCTACAGTTGGCAACAAGAATTCACTTGATGTTTGCTCTTTGGGCGGAAAAGGCAGGAGTCGCAGACTCCCGCGCACTTTTTTTTCTTAGCAGCGGTGAGCTGTGAGGGCCATATACTAGGTATCTCGAGATCAGGCTATTCCTCCTCCGGCCAAATCAGAGTTCAGAAGATATATAACGCTCGGCTCTCACCAAAAACAACGTAGAGAACACAATGAAGCCGAAATGTAAAGTAGGTGTCCGAAAAGGAGGTCTTTACTGATCGCTCACCACTGTCGAACGTCAGCTAAGAATGTGAGCATTTTTAGCCACAGGATTTGGTAAGGCAAAACGACACGAAGCTTTACTTATCTACGACGGCCGCTCGAGGATCACCTTTATCGGTTAACACTGCGCTTCCACAAATATACCTATACATAATAAATGAGAACGCGAGGGTGGGCGTGCTGAATTAGAATGAAAAGGCAGGCGAAAAATAAAACGGTAGGAAATTTAGGTTCTGTGAAAACAGGACTCGTCAGGTCTTTGTTTTTGAGCATTTTTAGTTAGTTTCACTTTAAATAAAGGAATCGAATGTATCGGATTTTAAGTAGATATCGTCTCTTATAGGTTTCAGAGAGGAAGCTGGAAAAGTTAAGAACGTAATAGCTGGTGCCACCAGGGAAGCATCATTTATCTTAAGTATCGCGAAAGGTGTGAGTCCGTAGTACGTACTCCAGTCCAGCCTTCATTGGTTACGCATATGAATACAGTGAGCATGGCTAGACCAATGTTGTCGAAGTTCGTGATGCCAAAATTGGGTCCCTCCCAGCCGTCGTGACAAGTATAATTTGGAGGACACTGGTAGCCCGAATGGCCCGGTTTGGCGCACGGGTTTTCCATGCCCTCCGGTTCCTGCGAGATATCGTGCAGGCATCGCATGTGAAGCTTGCCTGAAATCGACATCAACAACGGTAAATAATTTGGGATATATTGCGTAATATAAATTAGAAAAATAGATCACGTGTTTAGTTGCACTTATGTTAGTGTATTTATTACATACGCCTTCACGCGTTACACATAAGGTGTTAGTACCGTTATTAACCTAGCTATTTCATGACGATGTCCATGTTTGTTTGTCATATTAAAATTTTCCACGAGTGAAAATCGCATAGGACTTCGTTGGTACTCGTTTCGCTTACACTTATGCCAGCCGCATATGGTCAAGGCGTCAGCTATTCCGTTCGATTGGTTAGGGAACTCAAACAGTTAGTGGCAAGTTTTTTTCAATTAGGGCGCTGTGCCAGGTGACCGTTCACTTACCAGAGAACAGTTCGAGACCTATGATGGCATAGATGATAATGACGAACACGACGAGTAATGCAATGTGGAACAATGGCACCATGGCCTTGAGGATCGAATTCAACACCACTTGGAGGCTAGGCACTCCTGAGACAAGTCGAAGGGGCCGAAGCACCCTGAAAGCTCGGAGCGCCTTCACGTCGAAACCCTCCTTCATAAATGTTGACAGGGCCGTCGATAATAGGCCAATAACGACAATGACAAAGTCGAGAAAGTTCCACGAATTGCGGAGGTACGCGCCGGGATGCATAACAAACCCGTAGGCGATTATCTTCATGAAACATTCCGCTGTAAATATCACCAGAAATATGTATTCGATTTTCTCCTGCAATCAGATGAACATTCAGACAGAAGCATAAGTTAGCATGGTATATTTATCCGAAGACGCGCTAGATCGAAGACATTTACCTTATCTCTTCGTCGAGGGATTAACGAACATTGTCAAGTCTAACTTGGAGCACGGCACTAACCGCCGGACATTCTTCCTTCGAGCACGTTAGCACGAATATTAGTGTGTTCTCTGATAGTATTCAGAAGAAAAGGGCAAGTCAGGAAACAAGGGCGTAGTTGAATCGAAACAACATTGTTTATTGATCCATTTTTGTCGTACAATCCCAGATATAGAAGACCAAAACAACGGTTTTCTATGTAACGACAGAGCGAAAACGACGAAGGCTCTAATGTTTCATGGTTGAATAGATTAATATATTCATTTGATTTAATACCGTTTCGAGGTCTACAACCCTTTCGCAATGTAGTTTCAAGTATTAAACACTCGTCGAGCTTTGATGTTCGGGTTTTCATCGGCTCTGTAGCGCGCTGCCAAAACACGCGTCGTGCACGTTGATGCCAATGGCCCCATCAAATTAAATAGGCATTGGCTTCCACTAATATGCTACAAAACGTACAGGCACGAACTACGCCATTGAACTCTAAGGATATTTATTTAATTATAACGGCATCAACAAACCGGTTGTCATCCTAAATGCACGCAAATATTTAGACCTAGTAATTTCAACTTAATTAAAACCATTCAAAATGTTCGAGAAAGAGCTTTTTCGTCGTCTAGTGACGAGCATTCTCGCAAACTCTTAACGTAAGCCGACGACGCCATGGCGGAATCATTTTGAGGATGAACAAACAATGAATAGCAACAGCCCGGCCAAGGCTGAGCTCGCTAGGCCTGAGTAATTTATACGTTGGTAACCATGAACATGCGGCCGTCGTTGCAGTGTAAACGAAACATCGCCATGGCGTATGATTATTATGCCATCCTGTGGTTCTGACGAAGAAGCCGCAGCGAAACCTACCCCGGCTACACTTTCTGGCTCCTAGACATTATCCAAACCGGCCATGGATAGGCGTCGTATTGTAAGTTGCCACATTAGCGCGTGAGATATTCATTGTAGTTGGCATAGTTGCCGTTTTCAGACTTTGCTCTTTCCATCTCTGACAGTTACCGAATGGTTAGGTAGTCAACAACGTTTGCGCACGCGTAATGTAATGTTCTACTTGATAATACCTTTGGTCTATTCTATATAGAAGCTAGCTGCCATCGTTGCTATCTTCACCTATTAGTCTTCGTACAATATATATAATGCTTATGAAAATCTTAAATAGGTGCCTTCTTTTCAACCAGTGAGCGGAATGCACAGCGATACCCGGAGTCGCCTCATTGAAATGGAGCCAGCTCCTTTTTCGGGTTAGTTCTGCGCCATATATTATGTGCTGGCTTGGCTGACCTACCCTGGAATGGTCGAGGCAAGCGCCTAGAAGCCATCCACCGTTGTGTTTCTACTGAGAACTCTGCTGACGGATGCAAGTGGTGCCAACATGTCTCTTGAAAAACATGATTATTCCGAAGGACCCAGTACATCGACTGACCCGGCGAACTCTTAGGGCGGAACTGTATTCACCGAATAGCCAAGTGCTAGGTAAAGGCAAGAGCAAGGAAGAAGAACGTTTTTCAGCCCACCCTAACGTTCTTTTATCCCTGCTAGTCGCCGGACAATAAGGCCGGCGGCTGCCTTGCAGCAGTTCTACGCACAACCACTGTCAGCGGTGCTATACGTATATTAAAAACCCGACAGGCGAGAAAATGATTGCAGTCATTGGAGGGCCAAAAGCCCACAATGGTGAGGGGTGCTTGTTCAAGCCGCATTGGTTTTGCTTACTGTCTGCCATAAAACGAGAATTATTAAAAAACAATTCCAAATGAGCTCCGAAAGGAGAACACCATAATCCGCTGACGTCATCGACGGGGATGAGGCCCGCGGAGCTACTGTCGAACATGTGTTAAATGACAAACAAGAGTAGGTTTGTAAAAGAGCGAAAATAACTACCCACGTGTTAATTCAGGAGCAGGGCTGCGACGCTCAGTACAGCAGCTACGATAAGGGACTCAGAAGGTGAAAGGAGCTTGATAGTTTGTGCTCTCCTCAGAAAATGTAATTTCTAGCCGTTACTCCATATTGTTATGCCATATCGACTACTAAGCGACCGAAAACAGTCACATTGTCGACTTTCAGCTCTTCTGCGGAACGCCTTGACATGGTTAAGAACTTACCGCTCTACCCAGTGGAATTGTCACTGGTACCTCTGAGTGGAGTTTGAACGTCCGGTTATGTATTGATTGTTTCTATCGCCGCTATTATGGACGAATGGTGTTTATGGTATCATGTGGTACCTATATGTTCAAACGTATCCCGAGCATGTGCATCCCGCTTTTCTTAGGCCCGCTAGGTCAGGAATTCATGCTCATGTTTGAATTGAAAACTACTTGCTGAAATGGTAGTCAAGCTATTTCGCGGCTACGACTTGTAGCCTATCCCTATTTCAGGCCGCAAAATGTAGATCCTGATATTTTATACAAATGAACTATTAAATATATGTTACTATGAAATATACGTCAACAAGTAAGAGTTAGACGAATCTTTTTCCACTGTAAAAATTGCGCGCTCGTTCCTCGTAAGGTCTCCTAGCTCAATAAATCTACCTTAGTCAATTGCGACATCCCACTTAGCTGCCGGCTCGCTTGCAGGTTAGGATGTCCTGCTGACGCCCTCTCGAGTATCGCAGGTCATGTCAATGGCGAAAGCACGATAGTGGTAGCTAAAAAGCGACTGGTTTATATTCTTCAAGGAAGCGACTTGAAAAATATGAGGCAACCGCCATCAACCTTGCTGTCTTCTGGGTTCGTAGAGGGTCACTTTTAAACTAAGCTTTCATCCAACAAGACCTGCGCTAGGAGCTACTAGTCAGACCAAAGAATTCCTCGTAGTCTGCCTGAAGACTTCTTTCGTCCTTTTTTGTCTCTGGAGTACCTTACAAGCAAACTATTTATTCTATACTCATAACCGGCCCTATCTGTTTGAGGCGTATTATTACTGTTCCTGAGGGAAGTAGGGGGCGAGGTCAGGCAAACTGGATCAAGACAGAAAAAGCTAAATGAAGCTTGTAAACTACCGAATTCGTTTACCCGTTGCGAGCTACCGTTTCCCGCCCTATACGGGTAGCCCGGGGTGTTACAAGTTTCTTGAACCCTACTTAATACCCCTACGATTATGTTTGTCTTAGGTCCTTCGTTTGCTTCTACAGCAAGGAAAAAGAGACTTTTCTTCAAACCGCGCTGTTTTCCTGTTTCGCTGAGAAAACTATCAAGCTTTGTTCGCCATACTGGTGGCAAGGAGATTTAGAGAAGACGCTTCTCTCCTTTCAATCTCGCTCAATAAGTTGTTCGTCACCGCCGTCAACAATCGATTTCGTTTTCCGTACTGCATACATGTGCACTAGCCAGCCTAGGCCCGGTAGCGTCGTACCAACGATACGCTATGGGCGTGCAACTATAGGAGTAGCTACGCCGTAATCACAACTACCATCAAGATAGCATTGGTGAAAGCCTGCAGCCGATTAAATCGAGACCGACCCGCTACATGTATTCCTCTTTCTTTAGCTTAGTCGTTGCAGCAAACCACACCTATTCTTACTTTAACGGTCTTGATTTCTTCTTCCTCTGGCCAACGTCTATCATCCGGCCTCTGCTTTGAGTAGCGACGTGAGCCGCATCAACGCATCGTGTCCTGCGACCTTCTAGTTGATCTAGATACTACTCAGGGCCATCGCCGCCTTACTATACCGCCAGCTCCGCATTAACTTTGTGGTACAGGAAAAACTAAAAAAATGGACACCAGTGGCCGATTGCCACTAGGCATGCGCGCAAGTGAGAGGAGTTCAAGTTTGAGCTGGTGACAGTAGCCAGGTTATGCCATCTCTCCACACCAATAAATCAGCGACACGGCTGAGACAGGCCCCTCTATGTCTTCTGTACAGCTTGTTTTTTGCCCCTTTTCAGACTCGCTTGCAAAAGAATGAACACTTAAAGAAGGTGGGTACAGAGAGAGATGCTCGAAAACTGCGAGCAGTTCTTGTTGCGCAAGCTGCGGTCTCTCCCCAGCCTGGCTAAAGCGCTCATCAAAGCCAGAACGCTTAACTTGGTTCTACCACTTTACCTGTAGCAAGCCCTAAATGGTACATGGGCCGAAAACGGGAAATCTTCAAAATGAAAGGTTTTCGAAAGTTTTCCTTTTTTTCGAGTATGTCTGAGTGCGTTGACTGGCTGTAGCCGCTAGAAACAGGATTGTTAGGAGTGCAGCGTTCGTGCAAGGGGGCTGCCGAGCTGTCAACCAGATAGTGCCTGAAGTGAACGCACGACGACATAGTTGAGAAAATCTTGGAAGGTACGAAATAGTCAAATAGCAAATACTGTGTACTGACCATGTTGGTCCGAAGTCAATCAAGTCCTACAAGGTGTGCCATAAATTATGTGAGCGGTTAAGAACATTTCGATATTACACAGATGTGAACAGAATTGTAACTGCCAACTCTACCAAATAGATGCACATTTTTACGTTTGACAAAAAAACAAACGAACTATTAACGATAACATTTCATGTAGAAATTCCTGCCGCTGTTCAACCCGTTGACGGGCAAGTTCGAAGCTGAACGATGTGAACGGTGACGTTTTGAGTTTTCCTATTCTATCGCACGAATCGATAGCGCGCTCTTAACTGCTAATATTTCCCATATTATCTGTTTCGAGGCCCTGTGAATGTGTTATGACCAGCTTTGCGACACGAGATCTCATATAGAACTTTTTAATAATAATAATAATTATACGAAGTCTTCTAAACGTTGTCTAAAACGAAGTTTTCCATTGCCGCCGGTTGTTTTGTGGTGGTCGACTTTATCTTCTATCCATCCATTAGGTACAGGCCGCGCTTGCCATCCATGCCAAAAAAACCCTCGAGCCGCAATCGGTAAATAACGCTCAACAATGAAAGTTGTTCTTAACGGGTTTCGCCACTGCTTGGGTGTGACATGAGCGGTGTTCTTGTAAGTTTTTATTGCCTAGTACATTGTCAAAAGAAGACGCGTTTAAAAAGCACCAACGCTATTTACATGGGCATTCATATATAGAACTGCTTGTTTAGTTGACCAGTCATGTTCGATATCAAGTCTGATTATCGTAGCGAACAGATTGTACCACTACCACGACGCGGAACAACGAGCCAGTGCTTGCCGATGCCCGGCATTATTCGCAAGCGCGTATACATAGAGAAGAATACAATGCAGGCAGGCAGGCAGTGCTGTTTCAGCCTTGTTTCTGGTCTGTGTCAGTGAAACAAAGGGCCAGTTTGGGCATGCTCTACGAAACCCATGCGTGTCCATGGCAAGTCTATTGGGAAAACCGGCTGTGGGCAGAATACACGAATTCGCTTCCCTTTCAGCTCTCTCTTCTCTAACTGACCTGTTCGGGTGTTTCTAGAATGCGAATCGGGGGAAGGATTCAATTCTTTGGTGGAGCCTAACAGAACGGGCCAGGATGGGTCTCCACCTTCTCGTGGAACAGCGATTTACTGAACCTTCATCTTATGTCCTCGAGCGTTACCACCTCTGAGCTATACCATTCTGCGTCCCATATGATCTCGCCTAGCAGCTTTCTCGATTCGAGTAAATGAATAAGAACTAGCAACGGCCAGTTAAGCTGTAGTAACAGTTGCATAAACGGAAACAGTATTCTAGGTCTAGTATGCATTCTCCCAGTATGCAAATCGAAGTCAAATGGTTTGCTTTTTCATAGTTCGCACAGCTCTAGGTTCGTAAATTCTGTGGGGTCGAACAGACGGTCGATGGGAGCTGGTTATGAAAGGACGAGCGCTACTGCAATGGTTGTCGTCGAACGGTTCGGGACAGAGTGATGGGATCATAGTGTTGCTGGGAAGCAGCCGACGTCGTCATCGTCATCTCATTGACAGTCTGTCATTCTTTCGCACTCTAGGGGCTCCGTTTCCCTAACACGGCTAGCTCAGTGGTGCCCTCCAAAAGTTTACGAGTGCTGAAGAATTGATATCTAGGGGGTGTTTGGCTCGCTTGCTTCAGTCTCGCCCACGGACAATAAGAGATCCTTGCGTTCGTTGAATCCCTGAATAGGTTTTCGATAAATAGTAGGGCGAAATTAGGAATGGTCTATGTACCGTGATGACATCGAGTCGGAATACGGATCGTTATGATACTCATACTGGAGCGGCGGTCGATGCAGACTGTTGTACTAGTATTTGTAAGGCCTCCTGTAAAGTGATGTGTCCCTTATTCCTGACCTGAGGGTGCGTCGGTTCATGGGACCACTTCGTATGGGCCAACAAGTGCTGTTACAAACAACGTAACTTTGAGCGCAATTTGCGTACAAGTACGTGCGACTGTAGCAATCCATCAGCGTTGTGGAATGAACCAAAAAGAATACAGCGACAGAGCTTTACGGACCAACGCTAACGGTGTTCCGTCAGTCCGGATTGGCTACCGCTCGCTAGTTTCTGTTGGCATTGATTTTTGTGTGAAGCCATCGTCTATAGGATACATATACATATATGTACAGTCGTGCTCAATCAAATAGTCTCAACATCCAAGGCCAACTTCGCAGCTCTGAAGCGAAGTATTTTTAAATGTTTTTAATGGCTTTTTTTTTAATTTGACTCTAGGATCCAAACTGCTCACAAACTATGTGATGTATAAAGCTTATATACCATATTCTAGCTGTAGCAGGCGTGATACCTTCTTGCAATCGGATTTCTGCGAATCCAGCACTCACGTTTCGTCCTAATATATTGTATAATGTTCAGCCGGCTCACTCTATCTCATCTCCTATTACGACTACTATTAGTATTGAACAAATGGTTGAGTTACGTGAGCCTGGCTAATTTGAGTGTTTTCTATTCTGGACTTTGCATGTTTCCGTACGTAAAGCGTCCCAAGGAGAAACGGAACGGATGTCACTGAGAAGCAGAGACCGCTGACTAATAGATCGTTTTGTCAATGCAAATGTACATAGCGTTAAACTCCTGAAATGTTTTATGTTTCTTACCATGCAAGGGCCAAGTCGCGAGAAAGAAATATTCCGTTGAGCTGACCGCCGCGTAAAGTAATCCCAACAATAGTATGAAACTGTAGGACCGTATAGTTATTTACAGACCCCAAAATGATAAGTTTACCTCGTATAATATCTTCCGGAGTAGATTAACAGACTGGATCGGCTGGGTCGAAAACTACATTTTTCTGCCGACCAAGAAAGGCTGGGTTCAAGAAAAATAGACTTGCCTAGGAACGTCAGCGGAGAGTTCGAATAAGACGAGTCCATTTCAATTGGGCAAACTAAGTCGAAAATGGCAGCGTTGAGAACTGGGGAAAAGTCTATTTCTCAGAGGAATCTTATTCTGAAATTCTCAGAACAACGCCCATCTGCCCATCGCAGACGTATTGGCGAACGATTTTCCGAAAACTGCATCATGCCGAAAATCGAACGTCCATCAAATTGTGTAGTGTGATCTATGATTTCTGGCACAGGTAACGGGATTACACGTTTCGCACGGGGAATACGAGAGCAATAGGAATACTTTGAAGTCATCGAAAGCAAAATACTACCTCAGACACGGGACCGTTTCCCTGACGGTGACTGTCTTCATGGGTACCTTGTCGCCAATTCAGAATACACCTAGGCTGTTCATTGCCAACGATATTCAAGCGCTGCCGCGGCTTGTTAATTTAGCAAACCCGAATTTTATAGGGAGCATCTTGAGGATCATAAAATTACGATTAATTAACAAATGTTTTAACCCTCCGTGGACAAACTACTGATGTATGACAATAGTATCCACTCGTAACTTAATCTTTGAAGGTAAAATTGTTCAATTGGACTCTATTTGCCTGGCTATCAACTGTATATTGGGTCATCGAAAAAGTATCGACCGTTTTTCCAGCTAGTTGGCCTTAAGGTCGTGTATGTTAGGTAACGTAAGTCGCGCCGGGCGTTGGCGGTACTTAAAAGCTGAGATGGGCTATTGTATGAAATATCTTAATTCGAAATTATCATAAACGTCTTAAACATGAATTCCGAAGGTTTGCTAAATTTTACTATAATATTATTATTATTATAATATTATTATTATAAAAATTATTATTATTAAATATTGCCCAGACCCATAAAATATTGTGCCGTTTATGGTCAAGGTGCCTAATCAATCATCAAATATTGAAATAGTTTTTGAAAAAAGATGGCTACAAAAAGACTTGATGTTTGCTCGCTATACGAATGAACAAACGAAAATACGAAATTTACGAGTTATTTTTGAAGCGCTTGATGGGGAGTGGAGCACATACGATAATAATATAACATGTGTTCCATAGTTTGTAGCAAAGTTCAGACTGACGCCAGAGGGAGTGATATTATATATTTACTAATTCGAAAAAAATAAGATAGTGGCGCCTAACAAAACAATTGGTTCTGACACTTACCGTTAACAACTTTTAGCAAAGTTAACTGTTAACAAGGTTACAATGAGTTATCGAAGAAAAAAACAAAGTGAATCTGAAGCTAGTGAAAAGAAAAGGCGTCGTCTTCTATTACTATAATACTAAACCACATACATTTTCAACTACCCGGAAAAAATTGAAAGCACTTGACTGGGAAATTTCCATGCATCTGCCGTCTCGTTCGGTTCCTGCACCATGAAACTGTTTCGGTCGTTGCCAAACACTATTAATCGTGTTTACTTAGTTTTAATGGAGGGATGCAAAGATACACCGACGGAATTACGGCGTTAGCAGAAAAACGTCACAAGGTCGATCAAAATTTCATACACCCACTTTAATAATATTATTTAAAAATATTAATCAAATCATTGTTTCAATTAAGACAGTAAATACCTCGTCGAGAACCCAATACATATGTATATATATATTTCTTCTGGTTCTTGGAGTCTGGTCTTGAAAGAGCGAGACCCCCATACAAAGAACAAGTGGTGTTATTGACGCTAGGCGTGCGCATATATAACATTCAACAAAAAATGCCCCAGCGACAGCCTTCAACTTGGTCCTTACGCATCTATATTTGGATTATGTAAATGTCATATAACGCCAACTTTTAATTCTGTTCAATGTGGTGTTCGGCGCAATGAACAAGTTTTTTTCAATGCTACGACTGTAATAGTTATGGTTCAACTGGCACTTTTATGCTCTACGTTGTTTTCAAGTAGTCTACTGACGACTGCCAACATTAAGTTGTACATAACATCCACATAATGGTAATGCGGGCATTGTTCTTACTGAGTTTAGACTCAGTTAATGTCCTTCACTCCCAGCTCTTCGAAACTTGGGTCACCTACTTGCTGGGTGCAGCTTTTTGCGTAGGAATAGCATAATATAGCAACAGCTAGCACAGATTCAATGGGTAGACTGGCCGGTGTGCATAGTCTAAATGGGCTGTTTTGTCTTCCCACCAGCTAGCGTGCACACACTTGTAGTGGAGAGACGTATAGCGATGCCGTACCGTTCTCGTCTGCTAATACAGGTAGCTGCATGGACAGAAAACGAAATCGGTACTTTCCGACTTGACGCCGGCCGGCGCGACTGAAGCCAGCTAAATACAGACTGTTCAGCCATGTTGAATGGTGATGTTCCACTGTTAACAGGAATAACTCCTGTTCGGCCCCGTAGGATGTGCATGGCAGCACGCAGTAAAATCCTCAACCCCGCTTGGATTTACATCGGCTTTTATAGGCTTGGCAACGTCCCTGTACACCCGCCATAGAAGCCCCCGGAACCAACGGTGATGTCAAGAATGCTGACGGAATAGAAAAGCATAACAGACCGTGCTGCTTTCGCTGCTACCAGCATCCTTGCAGGACGGTGTTGTTTGAAAACGTACACAGCCAAAACGTGTGATCCCTCGCACATAATCACCTAAAAAGTTCTCTTACGTCTAGCTTAATCTCAACTATGATTGTTTCACTTCAACACAGGAAATACTTTATTGACCCTCGGGGACTGAACGGACAAGGCGAGCGAACATGACGTGCCTTTGCATGCGTTGCGTCCAGCGTCCACTATAAACGTGCAATATGGTATGGATAACATGATCATCGCAATTCTTTTTGCATTCATCTAATATCCTTTGAAGAGATGGGATCCCGCCGCTGATTAATTTCAACTAAATGGAGGTAGTTGAATAGGCAAATAAGAATAAAATTGAGATGTGTCTTGTGGGTATTCGTGTTAGTAGAAGACGAAGGGACTTTTTTTGATGTTGTTGGTACCGCTTCAACAAAGCCACTCGTCGTAAAAAAAACTGTTTAGTCTGTGCTAGCAGTTGCATTTGTGGCGGTGGATGCTGGTTGTGATTATGCACAGGTAATCTGTTTACTTACTAAACTTAGGGACACGTAAGGTGGCATTCGTAAACGAACTTTTTTTTTATGATGGACGTCAGTTGTAGAGCAGCGGCAATACCGAATACCTAACTCGCAACGGAATAGGTGACAGCCTTTGCCAATGTTCGACGACATAGGACTGCGAACATATATTTAGTAGGTGGCGTATTTGGTTCAAAATCTGAGAGACGATTTGATTCGCAGAACGAAATTCCGCAAAGCGCGAAACAGAACCCCTTTGTGCATTATCCACTGCATTGGTGGTTTGCTATAAAAATTTGCCGTTTCCCTTAGGACACAAAATAGAATATCGACAGTGATGAAATTTTCACATTCATTGTGTAATAGAGAGGACCCGTGATAGATCAATAACAAGATACGATACCTATTTTATATACCGGGCATAAACGCAACGCTTGTGCCGCAGGCCAGCTGCCCTCTGATGTGCTGACGTGTAACGCAGGAACCGGACATAAGCCTCTAAGCTTTTATGAAGATGACAGTTACCAAGGGTCAGCCCCGAATGACTTCATTGGTAGGTCACTTTTCGTGGGGCTCTGTGGAGATTCTGGGCCAGAGCAGGCAGAAAAAAGGCACAGGCTGAGCTAGACAATAATTTGCTTGAAGGCAAACGGGCACCGTCAGGTGCTAGCTTGTGTTCAATGGCCGACATGGCTGTCCGACAAGAACATGTTGGTCAGTTTAATTAACTGCTAGAAAAAACAAAAGATTGTTACGAAAAGATGAGTATAAGCTGTGCGACTAGCGGGGACAGGAAGGAACCGGGTCTCGCACACGAACGGACAGTCGGACGAGGGTCGTTGATAGAATCGTGTTGACCGACAGGATGGTAGCGACATGGGCATGATAAAGACTTCACCTAATTGAACAGATTGTCTTCTGTCCAGTCGTTACCGCTTGTCTGACCCTTACTGAGCTGAGCTGTCTGCGAAAGCTGCCCGCAGCTGAACACGGGGATACAACATGGAAAGAGCAGATATGCAACGCAGGAACACAGAGAACGGACCGACAACGGGAGAGACACAGATCATAGCAGACAAAAAGGCCTCGTTGCTGCAGCAGCATAAATAATCAACGAATTAAGAAAAACGACACTCAGAAAGAAAGAGAGAGATGAAATGACGCGAAAGACGGCATGGAAGGGGTAGTGCGAGACAACAGAGATGAAAGCAATAGAGAAAGAAGGATCCGGGAGAGAAGAAATGCACTACAGAAGAAAATGACAGGAAAAGCAAAAACTAAGTAGTGGATGATAGAAACGAAAACAGATAGACGAGAGAGAAAGATAAAGGCAAAAACAACAATGTGAAAAAATGACAGAAAAAAAATAAGGAAGACAAGGGGGAATAGAGAAAGATAGGGAAGGGGAATAGAAAGGCAGATAGAGAGAGGGAGGAGATAGTTGACGAGAAAACATGTGCGCGAAAAGTAGAAGGCGGACAAAAGAGACGGAGCGTTCGGGGGGTACAGCACAAAAAAAGAGGGGACAACAGGCAAACAGGGCAAAGAACGGTCCAAAAAGCGGCGGCGATCCAGGAACAGGTCTGCGGCGGATGGCCTGTCAAGTCTGATCACGATAGACGCTCCAGCGCTCGCTTAGCCCCTTGAGTCCGCTCATTCAGTACGATAAGTCATGAAAAGTTTTTCAGCCAACCGTTGGCCGATCCCTAGCGAGCACAGCGTGCGAATTATTTCCGACTTCACTGGATCGCATCTTTTTCTTGCCCTTTGCTTAGCGTCATTCGATTCCTGACCCTTCAACTTGTCACCCGCAGCCCCTGCATGCCAAGATTTTGATAGCGAAACGAGAGGTGTCAAGGGCAACCGTTGCGAGCTATCACATAAGCAGCATCCTTCGCTGGTACCGGCTTCAACGACAAGCCGCAGGGTTATACACGAGTAGCCGATTGTAGTATGTCTTTGCCTCGAAAGAGTGGCAGCAGCAGACGAAACTTGCAATAGCAGTCAACCACGCGTGACTTGCACAAAAGAAAACTAGAAACACTCAGGAAGAGAGAAGGAGAAAAGGAGGATACGATTACGATGAGTCCTTTGCTGACAATAACGCACGTAAAAACAGATTCACAATAGAGATGAAGCCTGCTGGCAGTAGTGGTACATTCATTACAACAGATCCATCTACGAGGGCAGGCACTTTTTTGAAAGAGAAGTGGCAGATGTGGGCCAAGGCCACAGTGCAGAGCCGAGACTGACCAGCGAGGTCAGAAGCGGCAATGGTTCAAAGTGGCTAATAACGATAAGATACTCTGCTCCGCCCGATATCCTCGGGTTTCGTGCTCTTTCGCTTATTTGTTCGCTCGGTAGAGACTATCGAGTGAGTCCCCTATGAAGTTGTGGTAGGAGTTACGATCCTAATACCAGCGGCTGTAGTACAAGCGGCATTCGAAGTACTGGTGGGAAAGGGATGAAGTTAACGAGGAAGACAGCAATAAGGCTCTGGTGAAGGCCAATCGTCAGCCTTCATAAGCCAAACTTAAGATCCTAAGACAGGTACCGCTTCATCCACAGACAGCGAGCGGAGCATAACGTAGCAGAGCGACTGTGGTAAAAGCAGCAGAAAGAAAATCAGAAAAACATGGCTGTATATCTCATTTGATCTTGCTGCAACCAACAGGACGGACCTTCTCTAGAGTTTTTTCCACTCTGTCGGAGGCTTCGTCAATGACCCTAACAGCCCCGATTAACACCACGTCGCCCGAGGCCGTTGATTACTTGCTTGGGTGACTGCCTCATGGCCAGTCGGTTCATTAGAAAACAACTGATCATGAGACCACTGGGCTCAAATGGAGTAACTACTGTAAAAACCTAGACTACATAGTCAATTAAAAATTGACAGCTATCGTGGCGTACTGACTGGCCGTTCGGGACGGAGTGGATCAGCGGCTTGATGACAGGAATATCTAACGCGGGTGTAACGGAAAAATTGAAATACACGGCCGAAACGCATAAATGAGATTTACTACATCTCTCATCAATATCGCCATCGCGGTTAACCCTACAGATTAAATAGACTTCGTCCAAATTAAACTGTGTGAACATATAGATATGCCAACATGCGCTAATTATACATGCAAGAAAACTCGCAGAGCTGTCCGTCACTGGATTTATTACGCTACAGACCAGCATGTCTGCCTGTAGCAATATAGGCCTATAAAGTATAACAGTTTCTATTCCTATTTAAACTTACCAAAGTGGAGTTGGTTTGATTCGAATCTCCGTTCGGATGCGGCGTATAAACTGCTAGCGCGACGCAATTTGCGAAAATCGTAAACAAAATTAGAAATTCAAATGGTTTCCACTCAACGATAGAAATGCACAACTTTCGTAAGGGGTTCTTGAGCGTGAGGCAAAAAAGAGCTCGCTGCGGTCGTTCCACGACCTTGGGTCCCTTTCGAACAGGTCGACGTCGTTCCTGCTGAGCCGGTGCGACCAGGGCAGATCCCGGGGCACCGCCTGGTCCCGGAATTGCCGCTGCCCCGGACACCGTTGACATCTGCAATGATAACGACAAAAATAAATTCGAGATCAAAATCGAGCATTTAAGAACAAAGTAAAGTGATTTCAGAAGCCGTCTATTTAGCCGGCTGTTATGAATCGTTAAAGAGTATTTCTGTCGTGAAACAAAGGCTACCCATCATACTCTGGCCCTGCTTTCTCATATGATAGTGTTTTATACAAGCTGTCATGACAAGTGTATATATCACGTAATTTCCAACAGATTTATTCCTCATTCTGTGTATTTTCGAGATGCAATTGAATGTCATTACCTGCGTGAGCAATGGTTGCTGTTGCATCTGAACATTTGGGGGCGCCAGTTGATGGGAATGTGGGGGCGCGACCGAGGGATCGGCGGCGCTGGTAGCGCCCTCGTGGGCGTTCGACGGCCGGTGACTCATAGCCAATCCGTGGAGGGTGCGATGCCAGTTGAGGGACAGCGGCTTGTGCGCGAGCGGATGGGATGCTGGGGTATGCTCGCCGCTTGAAACTGCCTCCGAACTCCGGCTGGCCGCAAGAGAGGCGTGAGGGATTGATCGGGCGCTCCCGGACGGAGGCCCCGGTCCGCCGCTGGGAACCCGGCTCGGTGGGAGCAAGTTGAGCCCGCCGGTGCTGTAAAAAGAGGAACACCAACTTGAGTTAATTACATGATGAAGACACCTTGTGACGGGTTGAACTTATAGATCTGTTTTCAGATGTAATGTTTCTTCTTCTTTTCTCTAAAAGTGATTCTAGTTATGTAGCTGAAACAAAAGAACAATATACGATTATTGATGTTATTTCTAAGTATCTTACCAGAGATATTACCTCAGTTTTGCTAAACGCAACCGGCACACACCTTTCAAGCTTTTTTTTTTTTCACAAAGGACACTATGCAGGTCAAGGTTTCCGAAACCTACTACAGGCCCAGGTGCTAAAATGAAAATAATGTAATGGAACTTCTATGGTTAGGACGGTTGCTTGAAATGACTCAACCCGCAAATTTCCCTATTCTCAAAAGAGTAAAATAGTAAACGGAAAAAAACGAGCCTTGAAAAAACCTGCCTTAGAAAGTACTGCACATACTTTCGGCCGACCTAAAATGTCATGTACCATTCGTAAATCTCGAGCTTTCAGTGCTTTCTATAGCGAGATGATGTAAGGACAGTCCACCGATCGGCCTAATAACTAAAAATTAGTTTAGTCATCTAGCTCGTTGAGTGGATAGTTTTGTACACACAGCTCTTTCTCGTCGTAAGAAGACGTCCTGTTGTCTGAAAGTCTGATCCACCCAGTTAATTACTAAATACATAAGTGATATGTGTATAGTGGTGTCTTTGAGCCGACCTTCCTGGCTGGAAATGTTTCATACGCGTAAGTTATTGTTTTCATTTGACGATCAGTCGAATATTTTTTTCTAATAGTTATTATTTTTTTTTGTTATTTACAATATCATACTCTATTTTTCAATAAACTTGAATGATGCCTGATTTGAATGATTTTTTGGATAATTCGTTCCGCAATCTTTAAAAAATTTAGAAAAGTTAATAGTGGAAAGTTGTCCATTCTTTCGAGGCCTGCAAAGTAATAGGCCTACATTTGACAGAGAAATAATGAGTATTAAATTTTCGAAGGAATGTAATTTTTCAGAATTTTGCCATTGAAGGCTAAAAAACGCAGTTTTTGTGAATGTGATTCAATGCTTTTGCAGAGAGAGAAAGGAGCTTGAAGATTAGGCTTATTGCAACTAAAAAACGAGAGGTCCATGAACGTTAAAAGGATGCTTCAACGAGAAACGCATAGAATTTCCGTGTGGTAAACAGGGTCACGTCAACCCAATGGCGGATCCACCACTGATCTAGAACTCGGATTAGTTAAGCTCTTAACGATAACTGGTGTCCTGGCCGAGCCCAGAGCATAACTTCATGCAGGTAATTAAACATCTTTGACTCTATAGTAAACCTTTTAAAATGAAGGTCGAGCTCAATATTAATTGCTTAAAGCAACAAAATAGGTGCAGTATGATAATAGGTTACAATGAAAAAAAGCAGGATAATTAAAAGAGAAGAAGTAACGAGGTAACTGGACCTAGGCGATTAATATGTATGTACATACAACCTAACCAGTTATTAAAGCACGGTAATAGGATAGATTCATCGTAACCAAGTTGCTGCATGATTAGATGGTACATTGGATAGTAGATGTTGCTGGAATACAAATACCACAATAAGCTGATTAAATAATTACAAGACAACAATCGGACTGTTGAAATATTTGAATGAAGAGCAAAGCAAAGATGGGATCCTGTTATTGTTCGCGACTTTTTACTATCTCTCCACTAAATTGTCTGCCATCTCGCAAGTGTCGTCTCAAAAAAGTTTTTCAACCACGTTTTGGTATCTTGATTCATGGCAAAGTTAAGGCCAAACGTGATTGCCCGGTAGACGGATTACGGGTAAGACGTAAAAATTAATCGATGAAAACCCAGAGAGTAATGGAGGGTGACAAAAACTTTTTTTGAAGCTGAGGCAAACGGCTTTGACGATGTATGGCGTTACGATGCTAAAAGGCAAGATGACCTAACTTCGTTTGTCGTGTCTGTTCTTTTGAGTGACTCGACTGACTTACTGCTCGATGCAGCTAAGGCAGGTAAACGTGCTGATTAACTGTCTAACCCATAAGAAGCAATTCCCATGACACGTAAAACATAACCTGCTTTGGATGACGATCTGGTTTTGACTATTACTCTTTTCTCTGACGCATCTCTGACAGATATTGATGAACATGTCTTATGTTTAAAACATTAACTATCCAACGTAAAGACACCTTTGTTTTGGATCACCGGCGACAATTATGTACAATGATCCGTCATTGTGGTAGTCACATGACGCCCGATATTAGATGAGGTAGTGCGGTGCGGCATTAAGCCCTAATTCCTTATAGACTTCAAAGAATCTATAAGGTTTTCAAATTCCGAGTTTCTATGTAAACTATAGGGACTAGAGGTGTTAACAAGCGAAAGTGGCTGCAACTCATCTTTCCAGCCGATTCCCTTGCAATGTTGTCTGTAGGTTGCCTTCTTTCAAAAGTGCCTTTAAATGGTCGCCATTAAACCCAGACGATCCACTACAGTAAAAAACATCCCGGATATAACTTTCAAGGTTCACCGGCTATTCTTGAAGAGTCTTTTTAGCGATAGCATCGTTATCGTATAGAAGACAAGTGTCCCAGGCAGTTGCGGTAGCGGCTTGGCGTAGACGAAATGTGTCAAAATGGCTGACACATCCATATTTGAGGATTTTTTTTAAGATGCAACCGCATTCGCAACATCGTACTGTTACGAGACGCTGACAGAATAGCAAGCGTTTTCGAATGATACATCAGAGGTAAACAACAAGTCAGGGAATGTTTTTTTTTTTTATTTACAAAAAAAAAGGCGCCGGAACGTTCTGATCAACCTCATAATACTCCCTGTACAGATGACGCAGAAAGTTTGTAACAGTTAGTGGTCCTACGGGGGCCTAAGCGAGATCAACTGTCCAGAAGCACCCCGTTTGTCGTAATTGAATCTTTCGTGGAAGAAGTCATAGAGAGCTTCGTGCGCGGAATGCTTATCTCAAATATGCTCTTCGCTCACGAAGATCTTTCGGCATAGACAACGAGCCAACATCCGACTGATCTGATAATAGTTCAAGTAGAATTATATCTTTCAAAATGAGTTTACTCTATACTACCGTTAGAGGTATAATAAATGAGAAGAGTCTACCGTGTTGAAAGGTAAATTTCGCGTTTGATCAGAGTACGTGCGTGTTTTTATACTATACGTAATCGATATTATGGAAGTTAAGCTGCTATCGAACCAATTTCTGACGATCGACGTGGGTCGAATTGTCATGGATGAAGAAAGCGGGGCTCAGTACGACGATTAGGAGAGTACATTATTAGATAGTCTCGGTTCCCAACCCATCCAGAACAAACATGTCCGACAAAAGTATCAAGAACAACGAACGGATCAATTGTCATCTTTTGAACGTCCGAATCAAGATGTTTTTGAACGATTTGTTTTCTTTTGCCTCAACAACGGCAAAGATTAGTACCCGCTGTGGAAGACTACTGGCTGGAATGGAATTAAGTTGCATGCAATTTATTTAACTACGAAAAAGTATGAACAGCTTTCTGCGGTATTGACAGTGTCGTAGATTCCTTGTGTTTCCAAATGAGGTTGTTTTTTTATGTTCCTACAACAAAAGTATAAAAATAATTAGTCTTTGCTCAGCATTCGTGCAGATTTCATCTATGAAAATCCGCATGTCGGTTCGATGGGCGATATAGTCCGCCTTTAGGTTAACCTTCATCGTTTTGTGCGAATCGGCGCGAATTAGCCCAGGGCATATGTATAGCCTCATTGCTGACGTTCCACAAGTGCTATCTTAAAAAAAAAAAAAAGCAGCGACGGATTATAAACGTTTTTTTCGCGCAGTATGTACCCAAATCTATCATCACGCTCTGACTATCGGCACAGTGATGTGGAAGAGCGTGTCGTAATGGAGGGTGAAATGAACAATTTGAAAAAACAGAAAAATAGTAAAACGAAATCTTACTATAGTTGCATTGTAACTTTGCAGTGTTTGGGCGTATCGTCTCGCAGTCAGGATTTTACTACTGTATATGTAGTCGTACTTCACTGCAAGACACTTCGTACTTCAAGACGATTCATTCACACATCGAATAACTACGCACAATGTATGTGTTTTTTCAGAGCGAAACTTGTTAAGTAACTTTCGTGGAGATCTCCTAAGCTTCACTGTGCGATTTATATCAATTTTCGTATGAAAACAAGCGGATCTGTCACTGTACAAAATTTTTGCATCGTTTGATATACAAAGGTTATTTTCGCTAGCGGAAGAAGATGTGTATTTTGCAAGCGAATCCGTCCATTTCTACAACTAAGAAAGCAATTACTGTTGCTTAGAAGAACGCCATAGGGTCCTGACATATTCTAAGCCTGGGGAGCCGGTAGCGAGTTCAAGTTATTGACCCGCCACTCATTCGTTTACTTAGCATCCATTTTGTCGCCAGTAAACCACGAACCCCTTGCCGGGCCACGCGGTGCCGTTGGCAGATTGATCCAGTCGTTGCATCTAAATAAACCGAAATATTATTCATGACCCAGTGGCTTCATGAACATATTGGCGGTTTGCACCCAAATCCCGCGCGATATCACCTGTCCCTCTGCTGGCTTTAACGTATCGTGCCGTCGATACGTTGATCGCAGAAGTCGGATGTTCTAGAGGTGAAAGAAGTTCAGGGCTGTACATTTTTCGTGCACTAGCTCAGAGTACAGTGGGCGTTACAAGTCATTCAACGGGTTATGCCGACTCTGTGCTACGGGTTGCGGGTTCCGTACGATCCGACGATGACGATCAGAAGAAGTCCAATCCCAACATTGCACTTTGTTCTATCGATCGATTTGTCTTTGTTTCCTGCCACGATGAGATCAGCACAAACGGTTGCATTAGCGGTTTAAGTGAAATTAGAAAAATAGAGATTTTTTTGAAAAAAATCATTAATATTCTTTGTTGACGAAGAGCGGTAAGCATCGTATAGTCGATTTCGTAAGTTACGTCTAATAGAGAGCTAGCGATAAATCGCCATTGCATTTCGGGTTTCGATTAGTTACCCATAGAGAGTACATTATTTCTGTATATCTACTGTTGTCGTGAATGAAGTGGACTTGTTGTTTATGATAATAACAGCAATGTCGTCCAGCTCTCAACAACCGCACCTATTCAATTAACTAGCACGTACTAAGTGGAGAGAACCCGTAAGCTAAATGTTTTTTGTGTTCGAAGAAAAGTTTTACAGTTTGCAGGACACTGCCAAGCCGACAAATGTAAGTTTTCGATTACGGTCATGCTAATTCTCGCCCGAGTCCCCTCTATCCGCGATCGTGGCAATTGCTCGTACGATACAGCAGTATAATAGGACGGAAAGAACAAGAAAGTAATGTAACAGAAAGGGAAACAAACAATTCATCCGTTCCAGCTTTGTCTCAGCTCAATAGCAGAAATATCATTTAGACACTTAGAAAAGTAAATACAGATGTAACAATATCAATAATAGTTGGATATCATTCCAGTTTGTTGCTGGGCTCTCTCGTTGCGTGCAGCTGTACGTAGGTAATCCCAGTGGGCATGCGGAAAGGTATTTCATAGGAATTGGCGTTCTATATAAGCAGCTAAAGTCCGCACAGCTAAAAAGAGCCTAATAGAGGTCGTATTCACCCATCCTGCCTGCCTGCCTGCCTGCCTAGCTGTATGTCTGTGCATGTGGACAGTATGTGCTAAACCCGCCCAAATACATCTAAGGCTGATTAAATATCAAACGAATCTTTCGTGACTACTGCTCATGATTCTCTATCTTAAACGACACTCTCGAGAGAGCACTTTTTCTAAAAGGCATCATCTGAGCTTCAATCCTCTCAGCCCCTTTTACTCTCGCCACCTACCTCCATTGCATATTCGTCGTTGCCCTCATTCCACCCCAACGCCTGAAAATTAAGACGCTCTCCATCCTTATCAAAAAAAAAGAACGCTCTAATACCACATATATTGGTTTGGCGGAGACGGCTAACGATTACGATACATGGAGCAGCGCAAAGAACAACCTGCTAAAATTACAAATGTACAGACAAATACTGTTCTAACCAGAAACAACAGCATTTCTTAGCTCGTATGTGCCATGCACTTATCGCTGGCCATTCAATGCCCTCAAAGTGTGAAGAGCGCTCACTGACCTTGCGATAATAGGACACTATACGCACTGTGATAACAGGTATGATCAATACAAATTGCACGTAGTATCACCTCGGCGTCCGCTACCGCGTTCACCGTTTTCCTGACCCGCCGATGGACACAACCCGCCGCCATCACCAAAAAATCCATACAGAATGTGCCTGTTCTGCCTGGATATGAAGCATACCGACTGCTGTCTTTCCCTCTACTTTCACTATGTCCTAATGCTGCTAGAAGTACAGCCTCAGGAGTGCACTGCTAGCTAATGCAAAAACGCTAGTGTCAGTGAGCTCCACCCTCAAAGTTAGGATATTTTCAGCGATCTTTTCCTCTTCGTTTCTTTCGTACTGCTTCTCGTTTCGTCGGCAAATTCGTTACTGCTCGACTCTAACCGGCTGCCGCCGCCACTGCGTAACCCCCAGCGCAAGCTTATTGCAAACGCACGCCACTACGCGTCATAGATGATGACGATATAGACTGCATAACATGCCAGCACCAATATATGACAGGTGCTAACCGCCATGTATATATATATATATATATATGCAAAATCACTGCTGCTGCTGTTGCCACCGGTCCCGATAGGCTGGTTCTCTCCCGTTCAGGCCACGAGCGAAACGTGTATGCAAAAACTGGCGGGCTGATGAACAAACGGACAGCCCGATCGGACACGATGATAGTGATGAGCATTCTGGGGCAACAGTTCCTGAGCGAACGGTGGCGGAGGAGGGTGGGGGTAAACGATTGAGCATATCGGATGTCCACGATAAGAAATGCAAGCGACTGCATGAGAATGGGACCTAGAAGCGGGCTAGACCATGACCTGAGCTTCAGATGGGGTGAGGTACCGGCTATAAGCTAAATGTTTGCCTACGTATGCACAACATCCAAGAGGGACCATTAATTTAAAACGAGAGAAGCCGAGAAAGAAAATCCAAGTGTGCTGGGGAAGAGAGGCCTTTCCAGCTATCATAAGATCAGACACCATTCCACGGATTCGACAGGGAATGCAGCGCCTAGGAGAGCGGCGCCCTGTTGATACAACGAGGACTCGGAACAACATTAACTCTAGACGCTTTTGCTATAGCCTGATGAAGGATATTACTATCCGTCATCACCGAAACAAGCGGTCGCAGCAGCTTGACTAGCAAGGGGGCCTACTGTGGCATAAGTGCGTGGTCATATAACTAACCTATGCAGTGTGCATATAAAAGTACAAGCGGACCTATCAAGTATATATAGATATGTTGTGGAAAGTGTCTATAGATTATTCGTTCTTGACGGTCATCTTTCGGGCCGTGTCGATCGAGCTAGAGTAATCGGCGATAACGGAAAACAAAAAAAAAGTTTGTATTGTCGTTGTTTTGTTGCTTCTTACGACCGCATATACGCAGATTTATCGTCGCTATTTCCATAATGTGTTGTTATCATCCGCTATAATGTTGCTATCACATTCGAGTATGTATATAAAATTTCGCGGCAGGAAGAGATTGCCGGAAAGAGATGTGGCGACTGTATATATTACGAAGGTACATTTTGGACCCCTTCGACTGTGGCCATAGCCGTACGATATTGAAAAGTTTACTCTTCAACGGGTTGCCCCTTTGTTGTTCGATATCACTGGCGATATTCCGTCTTGCACTTACTCTATTTCTAGCATAATTTAATCTCGGCATTGATTTTTATCGTTATCTTCAACGACGAGATCAGCAACTCACGGCGTACGAAAAAGGAGCTGTAAGACGTGATATATGATACAGCGATAAACGCTTATGGGGAGATAGAAATATTTAAAATTCGCGCGCTTTTGAACACTAGTACAGTTCCCAGTTCGAAGTTAGGTAATGGTACTGGTGGGCGTATGTATAATAGAATAGTGCTATGGCTGCGAAAGTTCTACTGAATAGAACAGTAAGTCCATTGCATTGTCCATGCAAAGACAAAATTGTTGAACAATCAAAATACAGTTCCTTAGCCAAGTGAAGTTGACGTTACTTATGTAGTTACCTAAATATGATTCCGTTACACACAAATAATTCATTCTGGAGTCACCTATTGGCTTAACCCACAGTTCGCATTGAAAACATCTAACCTCTATTAAATGTTCCTCAAACTTGATTTCCGCTCGAAGGCCAGTAGAAATTTCCATTCTTTATTTTCATCACTTGGGCATGTCAGATAAAATAAATGTTTTGAGTTGCTGCGTGCAGTTCTTCTGTAGGGAAATTTCAGTTGGGACGGGAGCAAAAAAGAAGATGTGTTTACGCCAGCTTTCGGATCTAGATCGCCTCACGTGCTCTCAAGTTAACCAGCACGTTATCACTGCGCCATCACACGGCCACGTATCGAACTGACCGGTATCTGCTCGTTTTCTTGCAATGGTGCGGCGGTGATATGTTCGCCTACGAATCCAAAATGATTAAACGTTGAAATCGGGGAGCAGATATACCTTGATTTCCTAGGAAAGATTCGAATAGCAAGAAAAAAGCGATAAATAGAGCCATAATATCTTTTCCCACTTGATACCTCTAGATTACTTGTATTTAATTTCCTATCCTGACAGATAAGCAGTGCTATTATGTTATAAAACAGGGATATTATGGCAGCACAGCTGAGACTCAGCTGGGGAAAAATCTTAGACTCAGACGGGCGCCCATTTTTCAGAAAGGCTAGTGTGCAGGTTTTAAGCCCTGCCTTTAAAGCTAGCTTAACTCTTCCCGATCCTCAGTTGTGCCTTCATTAAATTCAACAACCTCTTGGATTGCTTTAACGACTGTTAGAAAAGATTTTTAGGTTTAAATTGCATTGTCTGCTAAAACTGTAGTGGGTACGGAGGGTGAATTATAAAGTTCAGCAGATAAACTTGACGGTTGTGATACTCCATGCCAAAAAATAATCTATTAGGAATATTTCTAGAACTGTACAAGGCGCAATACAGGGGTAGTAACATGTAATGCAACAATAATTAAATAAACCCGTGTATATTTCGCTTCGTGTGCATAAGTTTATTGAGTCTTCCATTTGTTCCAAGTAAGTATTCTATTTGTTTGTGTCCGATAATCGACTTTCAACATTGACTTCAGCGCCTAGCGTTATGATACGGTATAGGAAAGGATGAAGACCTAAGATGAGGAATAAATCGACATTCGTACTCACAATACATATTAAGGTTCTTTTTTCATGGTACTGCCCAGTAAGAAGACAGTGAATGCTATCAGATATTTAGAGTTCCTAAAAAGTCTCACGGGCCTATGGCGCGCCCCTAGACAAAACACAGTACCGTTACTCAATGAGAACGCAAGATCTCATTGCCACGCTGCAATAACGTTTAAAATAGAGGGAAACAGATTTGACTGATCACTTCAGCTCGCATACTCTTCAGATTTTAATTTGCATGCTTTCGGTTGTACCTGTGCATTAAAAAAATGATTCTACCGTTGATTTCCTCGAACAAGCCATTGGCAACGAAACGCAAACTGCAAATATAAAACTACTGAGAACCCCCTCAAAATGAGACGAAAACCTGGGTCCCAGTATTCCGAATCATCAACGTTACCGCCTGCTCCGTGTGCTGGACCGTATATCGTAGGGGCCCCCGTACACAAACTACGTGTGGATAAGCGCAATATCCCGTTCATTGTATAAAAATCTCGGTCATGATAGGCCTAGAAACCCCCTGGCCTTCTTTCCTGAAACAGATAGCATGCTTTTATCAATCACTTAGTATGTCAATAATATTGCCCACGTTTCGCACATGATTAATTTAATAGAGTGCTGAACTGCCTCAACAAATTTCTGTTACGACCCATAGTGAAATTTCATTTGGGCGAGGTTATGGGTTTTGCGGTAGTTGTCATTACCAGCAAATATTGTCACTAAACGAAACCGAAATCTATGTTCCATAGACGATTAGGATCAGAATCAATTTAGGGGCTCCAGTTAAAAAAAAGTGCGTTTTGTCGATTCAGCCGTTTTTGCGCCCCATTGGCCACATGATGATCAACTGGACGAGTCTACAGCCTGTGGTCCTGAGGCTTTTCGCCTTACGCGAAATGGACAGTCGGTCCCTGTTCGAGCGTCAGTTGAGCGGCCACCGCTGATTAAGCTCCCAGCACTCACCTCACTGCCTTCTCATGAGTATTTGTAGTCAGTTAGAGTGGGCTTTCGTCCCCTGCAGATTCAGATAGCCTCAAACTGGCTTCTTTCTAGCAATTGTGTTCATCTCTGCCTAAAGTCCACTGCATCAGATGTGCGCGGCATAGGTTATTACTCGTTAACTGCTGATTATGAGTGCAGTATCAGTGAGATATAAGCATGCGACATACAAAAAGGACCTGTTTTGCTAAAACCAGTATTGTGCATATGCTTTATGACATACATTGTTACATTTAAAATGCGCCACAGTATGTATCTTGTAAGTACTTGGAATGGTTTTTCGTTCTAAAATTGTATCATAAATAAACGGAAGCCAGCTTTGAAATATTCACGGATTTTCTTCAGCGAAGTACAAACTCAGTTAGACTATCATGATACTAAATTAAGCTAGGATACCATCATACTAAACAAAATTTGATTATGGACGTGTCAAACCAGTACCCTCTGTCTTTCAGGTGTTTTTCGAAAATCTAGAGCAATACTTAGAATTGGTCTAAGAAGAGACGCAATTTAACCGGTTCGTAGCTAATAAATAAGCCTGGTACCAAGCATTGCTTGGGCTTTCCATTTCGTCATGATAGCAGCGATCGATAAACTTACACAAGATAATATAGCTTGATACAAATTCATTTATGCAGGGTGAAAGAAATCTTTCGATAGTTTGAGTGTTTTCATATTATATTTGTCTAAATAGCAAAAGCATAAGACGCAAAGAAAAAAAATTATATAGGTGTCAGGAGACCTACTCTGTATAAAATAATCTGTTACTCTATAATATTTCTTTCATTTCTAATCCGTTTGCTTACCTGGCGTAGGTGTGTGGCGAGCTGGCACGATGGTGTCCTTGACGAAGAGCGTGTCGAGGTGAAAGTAACGTGTGGTCTTCCGGATGACTAGAGGAATCACCCAACTGGGCCTTTTTCTGCGCTGAGAGTCTTCCTGTATGACTCCTCTTCGGGGTCGTACCAGAGACGGTGGATAATGTCGAGGGTGAGCTACGCTGGTTATAGTCTTTGTCACCTGTGATTGCGGCTTTTTTGTTGAAGCGGTGTTGCTGAACTCGAGATGGCGATGGAGAGGGGTTTGGCCCCGGACTCGGGCTACTGGGACTTGGGCTTTTACTGGTTTGACTGCTGCTGCTGTAGGCGGAGCACTCAAATTCGAAATTCTCCTGCGTTGAATGGTAGAGCAACGGCGTGGACGCAGAGTGGCGCAGGGAGAGGTGTTTTTGCTGGAGGCAAACACCCAGCTGAGAGGAATCGACGGTGCCCCTGGCGGCGTCCGCTCCGAGGGTTGAGCTAGCAACTGTCGTAGAAATGGCCGTTGATAACGATGATGTCGTATACTGCTGTTGCTGCTGCGTAACAGACGACGACGTCGCTTGTTGCTGTTGGCGTTGTAATCCTGTTGTACTTGTTGTTGTTGGGGGGCAGGGCAGTTGGAGGACGACAGCGCTGCTAACTGTTGGTGATCCCGCACCACCGCCTCCGACGAATTGCTTCTGCTGTTGCCGTTGTACGACAGCTGGTGCGCCACTCGCTTCGCCAGTAGCAGACGCTTCACCAGCAACGTTCGAGCTGGTGCCCTGCTCCGGACCGGGCACACCACCTGGGGCTGTAGTTGGACTTCTTCCAGCAGCAGCTGCAGCAGCTGCAGCAGGCTGTTCTCGGATTCTCGGATACTCGGGAGGACTCGGCTGGTGTATGCTCCTGAGCCCGGCGGTGGCCGCCCTTGCGGGCTCCGGGTCCGCCTCCGACGAAGTCTCCTCTTCCTCCGGTGGTGGTACGACAATTCTTGCTCCGGTCCACTCATTTTCTCCTGGGAAGCAACAGTGCAACACGAAACATTGGTACGGTAAGAAAGGCTACATTGAAGGGTTTAACGGGTGATCATTTGCATACGTATAGTAGGAAAAGTATTTGTTTCTAAGTCACTCGCTAAGTGGCTATACCAATGCGAAAAGTTACCCATAACTAGGCTTATAGTAGAACAACAAAATGATTTTTCAGTAGTCATCTGTTAGCCAACATCTCGGTTATTACTAGTCGTCCTGAACCTTTATACGGACGATATTTGGGTAGATCGGAAATACGACGAAATACTTGTATCAGATGTTCGTTATTATCTCGTTGTTTCCCTTCATTCTTTTCATACGCATCTAGTTTCTCCAATCATTTTGCTTTGGCTTAATAACGCCCTCAGTACATATATGGCACGAGAACAGACATGTATTTGAGTGGCGGACATATAAGATTCGCGCACAATTGGCAATCTGTATACGATCTCTGTTATTTTCTAAATGGCATGAAAGAGATTTGATTACGGCGAGGCATCGTCTTCCGCTGGTCCTCACTAGATATGTCAGCAGCCGCAGGTCTCGTTGGCCGCAGACACACACGCCTCACGCATGGAACCCTCTATATGGTTCTAAATCCAGATTAATGAGTGATTAAGGCAAACGGCTCTGTGAACGATATAAGCAACGATAACAGGGCACAAACAGGTTTGCGACATGAAACGGCTAGTCAGTCAGCGATTATTGCTAACGTTGTTGCTATTTGTCGCTAGAACTATACCTCAGTGGAACCCTATCTACCCATTGTAGCTTGCCGCTTTCCAAGAGTGTCGACCCGCTACTAGAGGCGTCACACGTTTCGAAACCTTTTAGTTAACAAGCCACTAGCACGTAGCGACTAAGAGGTCAGATAGGGGCATTGCATTGATACTCAAGTAACAGACCGGATCATTCGTGGGCAGGTAAAAAGGGCGGCTGATGTTGCCCCGCAGCTCAAGTGTGTTCTACCGCCCAGACCGGGGTAGTCGACTTGTCCCGTATTCGCATCATCTCCCGGCGTCGTTCTCCTACGGCTTTTGTTACTGCCGCTGTGATTCCGGTTGATGTGTAATTAAAGCTTAGGCAATGCGGATGCGCTGTCATCAACAGCTCTCTACTTCCGTCCGATCCCCTTCGTTTTTTGGCTGGGAGCTAATACGTAAATCCCGTTTACTGTCAGGGGGCCTTCCTTCTAACAGTCTATAAACAAAGCAATGTGGGGATTCACTCAACTTTTTCTAACTGAAATATCAGGTAAATACATGTCTTCTTCTGATTATGGATCGGTAGTTGATTAAATGCTGCTTTGACTTCTTCTTGCTGGTAGCTCAATGTATTTTGCATAGAGAGTAACGAAAGACGATGCCCAACTACCGCCTCAGAAACTAGTGGCAATTGAAGATACATCAATTCCTCTAATCTACATCTATATGCCGTTGACCGATCTCCACGAAAACCACCAGCGACCAAATAAATTTTAATACATCAGTTTGGTGAAAACAGCTACACGAGGCTATTGCGCCTTGTTACGGTTGCCGTATTCACCATTATTATCGAAGTCGTTCAGATAATAATCACAGGGGATTGAATCGTACCGTGTGCAATAAGTGCCAGCACCTGGATTTTATGTAACTAAGGGGTTAGAAAAGAACTGGGATGGGAGGATGCTACCTACCACTTTTGCTCATCTAATATGTTATAGAGTATAAGTATGTCATTTTGCTTATAACGATTTCTGTGTAGCAGTTTGTGTTGTTGCTTCATATTTACTTTCAGTTAATAAAATTAATTAATTAAGCGAGTTCTAGCAATCCGACAAGAAAGGTTTCCGCGAGGTTCAGGCCACTTGAAGAGCGGTGTATACGGCTTCGCCTAGGATAAATTTTACTTAATTAAAGTCTTCTCGGATTATGAGAAACCGATGTTCTTTATCGAAATCTTCACTCTGCAACACGTGTGAATATCCGCTTGCTCCTGCAGTACGTTAATCAATCGTGCCAATGCCGTCTTTTGAAGTCATCTCTTTTGAACTAATAGACTGAGCCATTCACGCACCTATAGATAAACATTAGTAACAGAGACATTCGAAATATATGGTGCCTTTATATAAACAATGTGATATATGAAAAGAGAGTTTGTGATCAAATAAATCTTGCTACGATAATCCATAACCATTTGTTCGTTAGCTCAGAGCCTTGAGATTTCTCAAGCTCACCTAGGTCGTCATCATAAAGCAATTAAACGAGAATAGATAAAACACATATTCTTTTCATCAAAGAAATCAGTCCCATAGTACCGTTTACTTCCTTACAATACGATTTCTCATACTGATGTATCTCATTTACGTGTGTGTTTCAGAGCGTCACCGGCCTCTGTAAACGGGATGTTGTGCAGGATGTGCAGGAGGAAATGTAAAGGATAGCCGAAATCTATATTTTCTCCTTGAAACGGTGCTTGTATCGTTTGAGCTTTCGGGTTTATGCTCAATTACTTAATATCCAGTGGTGAAAAAAACACAAAAAAAAGATTCGTTGCTAGATTTTATTGAGAATAGTCACCAGGCCCCCAACGACGCGAACGAAAATAACGACTATCGACAACACCGTCCTTACCTTCTATTCGACCACACTTTACTTTGCTTGCTACGATAGGAAAAAAATTGTTGGCATATCGACAAAAATGATCTCACCTCTGCTTGGAGCCCCTCGATTCGTCGCAATGAGATTGATGCCTATATGCATTCGATATCAAGGACACGCATACGATTGATTGTACAGGTTAGAAAATTTCTAAGAATTTGGCTAAGTGTGCCAAAGGAAAGGCGATTGAATCCAACTGCATGCCATAGATAGACTAGCTTGAAGAGTTCAGCTGCATTATAAGGCTCAAACCTATAATAGCATAATGTAGGGTCACAATATCGTAAGTCAGTGCTGAGTCAGTGGTTACGTTATGGGTTATAGTTACGTCACGGGCATTCAACCTTCTCGTACAGGCTAAGTAACAATAGAAATTTTAGTTGTACGGCTACACGCACCCGATTGATTGCCTCTGATTAGTAATACAGCCAACTACGTTCTAAAGTTCGTCCATTCGCTTTAACAGCGGAGCTTGTTTTGGGACCTTCGAAGCGATTCTACGGAGAAAGCGTGAAAACGTTTGTTCAATGATGGAAATTAATTTCTAAGGCTGTAGCCCTGTATCCGTGATGATGCAGTGGACTGTACAGTAACATGACCAATCTGTGACAAAGGTCGAGAGCAGGGAAAAATTATTACTTTTAAAGCGTTGTAAAGTCATTTAGCACGTATTTACATTTTCAGTTGACTAGTATATCGGTTAGATTCTATTAGAGACCTTCGATTATTAAAAACTGCGGTATTCGTTATTTTGACATGTAGTAGCGGTACTTCTAAATTTTCGGGGTAATTTTAGCAAATCACTCCCGGTCGTCTGTTGAATCAAGCTATAACACCTGCGGTTTTTTTCGCCGATTTTTTAAATGGATCGAGGTAGGCCTACTTTTCAAAAGCATTTTCTCTGTGAAGAAAAGTTGTATATGCCGCTCCACTTCCTGGACATGTTTTTGCTCAAATACTCTAGGGATCACTAAATGTTTTAACGTAATTTATAATTTACCACCAATTTAACTGCGCGATTTGTAAAAGATGATGATCGGTCGAACCAGTCATCTTGTTCAATTGAATAGGCTTTACTAAGCTGCTCGGCTGGCAGAGATACATATTTTGGATAATTTTGACTGCTTCGAAATATCGTACGGCAGCTCATTGTCATCAGCGGCAATTATAGACGTCGTTGAAGGGGGTCATACGGGTTAACGGGTCCAATCGCTTGCTTTCCGGGGGTTCTGGCTATAAAAAGAAACATGTTTGTAAGTGCATAAATGTTTGGTACCCCTTTTGGTGCCCCTAAGCCTTGGATCGAATAGGCTTTTATTTCTAATTTCGACCAGTGGTTAACTAATGTTATAGATAATGTGCTATATGTATATACCCGACAAAGCTATTACGGTAATCATCCACCATATATACCCAACATCTTAAATATGCTACGTAACACATAAGTCAAAGGAAAAATTGATTCATTAGATGATTATAGTCACCATTGTCCTTCAGTTGTGCCTGCAGCAAAGCGCATTCTAATAGGCTCTAATTTAATAACTATGATTCATTACTGTCACAGTTTCGGAAAAAAGTTTCCGCTTTATAAAATTACTAGGTTAATCATTTCCTTAATAAAAAGAAACCGCTTTGCCGCATCGAGCGCATGTTAGAGGGCACTACGAAGGACATTCCTGGGTGTACTTGTAATCAGGCCAAACAATTGTCGATTCAAGAACTGTATATTGATCGCGATATTAAACAGAGAATTGGAAAAATACGGCTAGTAAGGCATTGCCGGCCGAAGAATACGAGTTAGGCCTATTTAAGCTTGAAAAGTGCGCGTTAAGGCCTTCAGAAGGCAAGGCTTTTCTGACCATGTGGCTCGGTCCCGTGTTGTGGTAGTCGTAACGTTTTTGTCTATTGGGTTTAGAGATCTATAAAAATATATAAACTGAAAAACCTTCAGCTTGTGCTAAAAAGGCCATTGCGAGAGAACGTTTCGTGGCAAGTATTGGGCATAAAACTGCAGAATATTTAATCTCACTCACTTAACCTCGAAATAGCAGACTATTTCGTAAAATGTAGACAGCGCCTTACCATTCAAAGCAATAGCTAATCTCTGGAAATGTGACTTCGTTGGAGGAAAGTCTGTCAGATAAGGTTTTTTTAGTAACGGATTCGGATCGGTGTAAGTACGTCTGGGGAGCAGCCAAGAAGTTTCTGTGTTCTAACGTTGCCCGTAGCTGTCAGAGACCGGCTAAAGGTGCCTGCCAGGTTTCGTAACGACCAGGAGCGCCTGACTGCTCATTTAAAACTTCTTGCATTAAAGCTCCATCTTAGACATGTTTCTGTATACGTGAAGAGTACCCTTTTTTTTTTTAAATGGCATTGCTAAAGCATCATTAGTTACGAGATTAGGTCTATATTTCGTGATTTTTTTATTACTTAAATTGTGTGTGTTTGTAGTGTAGATCTATATTGGTGCGATTCAGGATTTACGTACATCGAAATCAGCAATATACTTGCTGATGATTCTAGTTCGAGAACAGTGGCATAATAGTATCTTTACGTTTACATATATATATCGAAATTACGGGCAATATCGTATTTACCTTCTGTGTTTTTCTGCCTATTTTTCTCAGGCCATGTCTACCCCTGTATCAATTAAGGACGGCTTAATTTTGTTGCCTTTGCCCCTTCCCTCGAATGAAGCGTGTGTCTCCTTTAAGCTCATGCGAACAATTTTCCACTACATTCAGTCAACTCATTGCGTAAAACTCGTTGAAGCTAGCATTATTCAACAAGGCCTATCGTGAATGAGCATAATGACTTGAAATAATACAAATTAACATATGACTTCGCATTTACTTCATTTTCAATAAATTGTGATTGATTGTACCAGCATGTAGCAGAATGACCGATTTCGCTTACATGGAAGGTGTGACTATTTTTTTGTCATGAGTAATTTTACCTCTTTTTAATTATTATGCCCTGTACCCAAATACTTTATCTGTCGATTATCTTTATGTTGCCCTCTCACGCGGTTGCGGCTGACCACAGGCTTGCTAAGTGTTTCTTTCAGCCTTGTCCCAGTTCTGCACACTATTCAATACATACAGTTTGCAAATGGATTTGGGTACGTTGCGGAATAAGTAGCCGTGAATATGGACCTTTAAGTCGTGTTATTTAGTCTGTGTAGCTGCTTTATATCGTGTGGAAATCTTACTTTTTTTTTTTTTATTGATTTCTTATCAATCTTCTCTGTTCTGAAGGCAGAACGTTCGTTCGAACTGTATAAGATTCACCTTTGTATGATTCGACCACACTTTTAATCCTCAGAGAGAACATAGGCGGTTGTTAGTTATTCTAGCAATATAACCCATGATGCACACATGCTTATACCAGCAACCGCAGAAGTTACGATTTTAAAATGTCTAGCTAGGGGCTAGGCTACATTGTCCTGCAAATATGTCCTATGCCACGGGCGTCCGGGCCTCCACTTAAATGAAAACCGAGTTACGCCACAAGTCGTTATAATTACATATTGTAGTAAAACGGGGCAATTAATTTGAGTCTTCGCCTCCTCCTATTATTCCTTGCAATTATCCTTTTCGTCACTTCTCCCGAGAACTTCATCACAACCGGAACTCTAGGAGAGTTCCGGTTGTGATGACGTTCTGATCATCTGATATCCTGCTGATACAGTTTGACAGCACATACGTTCTTTATGAACATTTTTGTCCAACATTCCCTATGCCCATTACGTTCCAACCCACTTGATGCTTTTGCTATGTGTACTAAAAAGGATAAAAATACCAAACGAAAGTATAGAAAACAATTGAATCTCAAAATAGGAATGAAAAAGGTGGAACTTCTACAGCTAATAAAAAGTCAGTGCAAACTCTTTTTTTTTTGTAGATCCTTCATGCTTTTTTATGCGTAGCCCGATGTTCCTTCGACTACTTGATACCTCTACACTTGTTTTCTCTACGGGGTTTCCCTTCAAGGAGGCTAAAAGGTCTTCGCAAAGAAAAACGAAGCATTTGGCAAGACGTTCGATAATTGTTGGCGAGTTATAGATAATCGCCACTGGTTTATTTTAATTGTAGGGATCTGCATCTAGTCGTCTACCAGACGTCGTTGAAAATATCCAGCCTTTGCCTTCAATTTATGTTTATAGAGACATAAATATTCTAATTATGTTAAATGGAAAATATATACTAATAAGTAGCATTTTAAACAAGTGTTGCATTTGTAAAAGGAATAACTAAATATTTTGTTTTTCATTGGCAGAGTGGAGGTTTTCACTAGATAGGTTACCTAAATATTTAAATGCGTTATTTCCTTGTCCGATTATATATTCTTCAAGTTTTTGACAGCTAGAAAAATTGATCAACTTGGAACCTCTTAACGCATCTACTTATGCCCGTAGCTGGTGACATCTTCTGGTATAATAGTGCCTCCGGTGACCTGCATTACTAGATAGATTCATCGGGTCACTCGTCATTGATAAAGAGCTGCATTTTCATTTATTTTCAGGTTCACTTAGCAGTAATTGTCTTTGGGCTAGCCGTATAAGCCCCCCTGAGGCAAGGCGTAAACCGACACCAGAATTAGAAAGGCAGGGAGCTTTTCTATTAAAGTTCTTTTCTATAACTAATTTAAGCAGAATATCGGCTAAACACGTCACGGAAAGGTATGCTCCTGTAAAGTGTGGTCATACTTACCAACATCAGAGCGTAACCCACTCTGGGTACAGCGCAAGGAATTCGAGGACCTCCCCTTATGCGCATAGAACGAAGTAAAACATAAGAAACGATTGATTTGGGAGGCGATTTGTTTTCCAGTTCGTGGCGCCTTCAATTCAAAATATTGAAGTGTAAATAAAATAAGCCCAAAGTGGATATAGTAGTCCAAGATGAGTTGATTAGAAAATGCGTTCATAATTTTCATATACCAGCTAAATGAACATAATGAATACGGGAGATTAAGTGTAGAATAATGCCAAAACGTATTCAAATATTAATTTTTAAAACATATTAAAGTATTTTATTAGCAGATTACCCAAGAGGATATTCTCAGCACCACGTAGGCTTACGTCGATGGATAAAAGATCTTGAAGACCTTCGACGAGCCTTCAAGAGTTGTCTTCTAAAAATTAGTATCGTTTTCGGCAAGCATTGACACTTTTAGGTGAAGCACCTTCAAATGCTTCCTAAACAATTCCTGAACTGGATAAGAGTGTTTGAAATGCGATGAATGTTTCTGGCACTTGTTTCAGTTCGACCATAAAAAAGTCCGCTCAACATTACATTCCGTTTGCTTTGCCCCGGCTTCTTCAACGATCGTGTCTGACACTTGAAAATGTTCTTACGATTGTTCCACGTTCATGATATGATACGTATCTATGTATCAGCTTGTTGCCGAATGATCGAAGACTGATTTCTTACACAAATGTTAAGCTTTTCCTTTCGAAACTATATGTGTAATATTTTTGAAATGTTGCGCAAGGGCTGCTGCGGTTTTGGGCTTACTTCAAATAAATACGAGGATATTGAGCGATTGAAGCCAAGTAGAAAGCGATCGAAGCTTGTTTTTCCGTTATTTATACTAATGTTTACCTCATCATCATTCCAACATTATTTATGCTCTTCTTGAGAGACATTATTTTTACATGACACGCATGGCTATGCTCTTTAGTAATAACTCGTAGTCAAATTCAAAGTGCCCGCGTGCAAAGTCATAGGTGTGAATAGATTTTTCTAACTGTTTACTGTTTAATACAAACTGCAAACTGCAAGATACTCGTGTACATAAAAAAAAATACTTCAAACATCATATTTATCCGTCGCAGGTCGAGACAATCCACAGCTACGTACTCATCTATAGTATACCATACATCTAGCTAATTTTATATGTCTTTTTGCTTTGGCCAGATGCGAACATTATTTTTCCCTGTCTACTACTAGGCAGAAAGGAGAGAATTCGGCAATGCTTACTAGACACGTGGCACCCACTTCGTGAGGATGGTTACTAGTTTCATAGGCATTCAAGCTATAGAAAGCATAACAAGCAAGAGGCGGAATTCTGTCGTGGAATTGATTCTGCCGACGGCCATTACCCCTTCCGGTCATTTCTTCCCCATCACCCTGCAGCTCAAACTACTTCTATTTCTACATAGATGACTTAGACCCGGCAATTTCAGTCCAAGCCCCTTTACGTCATCATGCCTGCGCGGTCTAGGTACACTAGTGTCGAAAAGACCACTCTTATTAAAGGGTTACCGCTATCTCGCTATTTCGTCGCACTGATGCTTCTTGCCGCCCTGGTTGCTAGTACTTGTTTTTCTCTATGAAGCAACCTTCTTCCAGCAGCCAGGCACTCATCTTTTGTACTTCTCATGGCCATCTCAGAGAAGGATACGTTAAAACCCTGTTATCATAACCGATCTATCGCTTCGCTTGCTCTCCTACCCTATCCCGAACTTTCGTTCTTCCTCAATAACTTTACGGCTTGATGTGCGGAATTCCCTCTATCTGACCAGTCGAGGGCCATTTCTTGCTGAGTACGTTTGAGATAAATAGCTTCGTGCTCTTTTCCCCATGCAGGAAGCATTGACCAAACGAATATGACTGTTGGCGCCCCTTGTCATCGTTTTAGTTTGTCGCAACCCTCCTTCCAAGGAGCTCTTTGTCCTTTCCTCTTCTCCGTTCGACTGCGCACGCCTCTAACCGTATACACACGTATATATATATGCGTGTACACGTGGATAGCTGGCTTCATAGAAAAACGGTACAGAGTTAGATGTACTACCAGCTAAGCAGACAGACTATATCATACGGGGATTCGGCTTCAAAAAACTTTAAAACGGAAGTCTGAAGAGTATTGCTGTTTTGGCCTCTGCTTCTGCTACTTTTGCTGTTGCTAGGTGTATCGAAATACGATTTGTCAACATGTTTACCTTCACGTTCGAGCAGCAACGCCGCCTACGGCGGTTCTGCCAACAACAGTAAAAGGATCATAGTCTGCGAAAATGGGCAAACAGATAACGGACCTTGTGTTTAAATGGTTAATCAACGACCTATTGAGTGAAAGATCGAGGTGTCTTATTGGTTAGTAGGGGAAGGTCTGGCCTGCGCTTTTTGGGGCCCTTAGATACTGGGGAAGCAACAAGGGAGAACGACAGGTCATCTTCGGCAGAAAATGGCCTGTCGGAATAGGCGGATGAATGGATAGTGCGGAAGCAAAAGTAAAAAGCATGAACGTCGGAGGAAAAGTTAGAGGCCCCAATGCTGGGCTTTCGTTGTTCTGACAGACGCATGGACAACCGACTGCTGAAAGGTGACAAAGCAAGCAGAAGGATAAAGGGCAAGAAGCAAGCAGGAGAGGCGGACGCAACGGTATAGGCGACTCTTGTAGCAATAACAGCCATTTCTATAGCCGTTGGACGGAAGGACACTCTGCATCCAGGCCAATGAGCAGACGATTGCGTAACGTGCAACTGACGGAGATGGAGAGTTGCCCTGGAAAGGATAACAGCAACAAAAACAGTCCCAAAGCTGAGTTATAGGGGGCTGTTCTTCGCCTTTCTAGGAGACCCCCGTAGGGTCGCCGTAGCGGGACATGACGGAAGTGCTCGATGACACGACTTATTCCTCAGGGTGCGGAAAAAACGACAACAGCGGAGGAACAGACGATGAAGAAAACGCCGCTCGCTAGGGTCTTTATCGCACTCCTCCATTTTTCTCACAGATAGCCTCAGCAGCAAAAGCTTTGAAGGGTGTAAGCTGCTTTTATTCCGCGGCCATCGAAGCCATCGTCCCTGTGTGGGGATTGCTACGAGGTAAGTATGTACGTAACTCTTCGACGCACCGCACGCGGCTGCTTCCACCGAGGTCAGCAGGACATGAAAAATTATGAAAAGAACGAGCAGTACACTACGGACACTCACATAAACGAATACGAGGACAACAATAAAAATGAAGGCTTTAAGGATGAGCCCTAGTTACGCAGGAAAATAGGGCTACAGAAGTTGAAACTACGACATCAAGGCAACCAACTAATGCAGAGCAGCGAGGCCTTGAGGACTAAGGTGGCGGAGTTACCCCAAAACAAAGCTCCTTTACATTTCTTGTACTCTAGTCTTCCTCTTCGGTCTGTGTCTCTTTCTTGAACTCTTTTGTCAATACTTCAAAACGGAACGAAGAACGCGCTATAGAAGGGCACGGAGTGGGCGGTACGTCCTCGTTTCTATGAGGACCAAACGAAGCGCTCTACGATTCTTTTGCGTCCGTGACTCTGTACAGCTCTTGATGATACGTTCCATTCATTATGTGCTCGTTTGGATTTTTCTCGGTTTCTACTTTGTTTGGTCCCTTAGCTTCCGCTATGTTTCTGTTCTATTGCTTGCTTTCTTTCCTAGCTTCCCCTTTATCTCTAGTTTTAGAGAAATACACATGGTTTATCATTATGTTTATCACCAAACTTGACTATTTTGATCTTCCTCATGAAACGTTAACGATAAGGCGGCGGCGGGGGGAGAGGGACAAAAAGCTGGTAGACCAGTGAAGTTAGAAATGTCTTCACATTGCCTCGCCTTTTATCTCTCTCTCTTCTGCATCTGTCTATCTCTCATTGTTTCTTAGGTGTTAGTCTACATATATTATTGCACTTCTTCTTTCTATGATGTAACTAGCAGCTATTGACTACGCAAGAGATACGGACATCGCATTGCTGTCATTGACCTGTAGGTTATATAGGGGTGGCGAGCAGCTCTATCTGATCAGGTAAGCGGAGGTGCTTAGACAAGAGATGGTCCTCGGAAAAAACAGCCTCACATTTCGACCTCCTCGCTTGGTGGTGTCTAAACAACTGTTTTCTATTCTGACAAAGCAAGACGATGTTGTATTTAATAAATGACCGCTTATATGATCGAAAGAATATAGAAAGAAAAGGAGATGCCGATAGAAATGAGCCAACTACCATGTCGTCACAGAGAAGCTTCAATGATAACAGGGCACTTTTGTCATCCTTGGCTTTTGTTGGATGTGTTTAAGCAACTAGTAAGATTATAGCTGATCTGCAAATCGTTGTTAACGCTGCTGCTTGAGTGAAAGACCTAAACCGTATTTTTTTAGAACGTTAGAAAGAGCTATCTTTTTTTTGAATATCGATCATTTCTTTAGTGGAACAGAACTCTGCCATGAGATGGCTCAAACTGAATCTTTAATACAGTATTTGTTAAAGCTGGCCACGTTACTGGTGATAAACAAGTGCTCACCTAGGACTTTTATAGGACGAATAAGCCAGTTGACTATTAGTTTGAGGTGTGTTTTGACCGGATCGCAATACGAGTTTAACAAGGATGTTAATCTTTACAATATCGTATTATAGGCAAGTAGAGCCAATAGGCGAATGAGTAGTCCTATGTGGCTAGTGGCCTTTTGGTTCCAAAGCTGAGATACCTCAGTATATGCAGTGAAAGCCAAGCACGACCCTTAAAACGCGATATTGTTGTTTAGACCGCTCTGATCGTTTGAATTTGAGAACAGCTATGTATTTTAACTCAATGGCGAATCTGTAGGTAAAGTATTCTAGTTAGAGACGACGCCATAACGCTTGGCCTGGAGATAAGAGTGTCGATTAGCTCTATTTAAGGGTGCGCGATTTCTACACATCCGAATAACCAGCAGATTTTGTTACTACACTGCTAGACAGCTTGCAATTATGTGTGTGCGTCGTCTATACATATAGCTAGATGGCTAGTTTTGCTCCTGACAAGTCCTCGTTTCGTTAGTAAAGAGGTAACCGGAAGTAATTTTCGAAACAAAGGTGCCGATGTGACGATCATTTGGGATCTTTTTCAATGGTTGGTTGAGAAGAACGGTTTTGGAAGCCCCGCAAGAACGCCGGCTCTGCGGTCAGCTGCTCGACTACGAGTAATGAAAACTGCCACTACTGCGTTGGTAGAACCCTTACTTAAGGTCGCTAATTGCTCATTGTCATCTTATGCGCTCTGAACCTCCGTCATGTCTCAGTTACTGAGTTAGGTAAGCACTATTTTAAATAGTACGCTTGGAGACGAACTGTGTGTGATATTAGAGCATTTCCAGGGTTCATAAGCTTACCAGTAAAGACGTTACCACTGCTCTACTAAAAGGGGAATTGGGGGTGGGGGTCGAAACGCAAACATTTTGTCAAGACATTCTAGCGAGGTCAAAGATTTACTATTTGTGCGAAAATTTAAATAAACAATGATTAAATCTAGCGATAATCAATCTGTGTTCGATAAACGAGACGTTACAGAAAAAAAAAATTTATTGACATTATACAAAAAGTAATTAGATACTATCGCAAAACAATAGTACATTTGTGATCTTTTTCGTGATCTAATAACTAACTAAATTGTCATGTCTACACTTGGTAATTTACTAACAACTAAGAATGAACCCTTTCTTGTTAAGTGGCGACCCCCTAAAACAATTTTCGCGCACTGAGCAACCAGCAGGTAGAACCTATCCTTATGTAAAACAGGTCATGTCAGGTTTAGGTTAGTGCCACTTGTATT